AAATGTATAAATAATTTTAAACAATTGGAGAAAATATTTTTTTGATTTAAGACTGCCGAAAGGAAAAAACTGCTCACTCAGAAAAATTTATAAGCGATGAGCACGCATTTGATCATCTCTCCTTGGCAATACAACTATATAATAAATTATATTATTTTTTAAAAAATTGTATTTTTTTAAATCAAAATATTATTATTTATAGTTTATTTAGTGATATTTGAAATTAAAAAATAAGGATGATTAAAATTTTGCAAAAACTATTTTATTCCATTACAATTTACATAACAAATGATTAACAAGAAACATGAATATACTGTGGGTAGATAGGTTGTACAGATGCCAGTGGCATCATTATCCCTTACAATCTCGGGGGCTCAAATTTTTTTTTTTTAAATTATTTGTAAGTTATGTCATGAACACTTATATTAAAAATAATTATAGAGCAATATTCGAACATAATATATAGATATAGCCGAGATTTTATAATTTGTAAAAACCTCAATTGATTTTTTTAAAAAATATCTTTCTTTAATTAAAAATAGGAGAAGTTTTGTCACATCTCCATCAAGGACATTTTTACATAAAAATATATTTAAAAAGGATTAAGATTATAATTTATCAATAATTATAATTTTTTATATAAGATTAAAGAATTTTAAAATATCTTGTAAATCTTTAAATTCTTCAATGTGTTTATAAATACGAAAAGTAAATGACAGTGTGATATAATATTTTCTTAACTTGCGTTAGAAAGATTGTGAAGTTCAATTATCTTTGATTTTTAAAATACGGTTATTGGTTGGCTATTAATTAAATTATTATTATAACTTATGATTATGAAAAAAAGTTAATTCAATATAAATATTTAGATTATAAATCACTGATAGAAAGTAGAGGAGATAAATCATTTTAATTATAGATAAATGAAGTGGATAGTGAATTCTTCGTGTGTTTAGTACTATTAAAGTTAATTATTTATATTTTAAAAAAATTTTACACTTATTAAATACTAGTACTATAAAATGTAAAACATTTTGTTCACACATGTGAAAATTATAATTTAATTTTTTAATTATTCGTATCGTAAACAAGCCAATAGATGTGCAGACTGCAGTGCATGGTAAGTTTTTGTTTGTTGCGTGTGTTTCTTACTATGTAGTTTCTACGATAAATTATGCTTATAAAAAAAATAACAATATGGTAATTTATAGTTATGGTTTTTACAATTTTATGTATATCATATAAAATATTTGTAAGATAATAATAATATTCAAGACAAACAATCGCCATTCTTTCCCATATTGTTTGAATAAAAAAATATTAGAGAATTCAAAGATTATATAAAAAATAATTTAGATGTTAGAACAAATAAATTTGGATGAGCTAATATCAGGATTTCCGTTTTAAAATTATCTAAATTTGTTGTAAATATTAATATGTAATAATATTGATAACCTGCTAAGAAAATTTTTTATCTTTGATTTAAGTGAATATACCATGTTTGTTGACCAGATTTGATGGAAAATATTTCCATATTTTTTAATTTATTTGAAAATAAAATCATTTGACTTGCAAAAATTTTTTAAAGATAATTCTTTTCAATTTTTACAAGTTAAATAACTTTATTCACGAACGAATTAAAAAATATGTAAATGTTTTGAATTAAATCTGCAGAACACTATGATAGACATAACTATAATTAAGTACATTCCTAAACTTTGAGGTATTAACTATAAGATAATACAGAATTAAAAGAGGAAATGTTGGCCTCCCTAATATATACATTTTGTAATATTTTCAATAATTTTTTTTAGAAACGTTATTGACTTAGAATCAAATTATTTGTAATTTATTAGATACCATATATGATAGAACTAATTATATGTACCGTTCATTACAAACACGTCCAAGGAACAATGATAATATTGCAAACAAATATAAAAGTCCTGAGAATATTACACAAGAACCCGTTAACTCTAGAAAATATTTTTACGAGGATGAATACTTTTGGGAAAATATCATACAGCAAGAAGCATGTTTTGACTTGACTGAATGTTATAAAAATGATTCAGTAGGCAAAAACCTCACAGCATCTACTCACACCCTAGATACACTTTCAACTCTCAGTTTTCGCAAGGGAGATTTATGCCAGCAAGTTCACGAAGATTTACTCAACAGAAATGTGATTGAGTCCAATAAAAACGTGACATCTAAGAAAAGTAAGTCCTCTATATTTCAACAACCTTCCCAATTTTTCCAACGCTACAACTCCTTAAGGCTCTCTCGTAACAAAAAGGTTACAAAACCCTCTATTAATAATAGCTCCAAACATGATCTTAGTCATATTAAAGAATATTGTTGCTCAACTAACTTAAAAAATGGTTATATTCCCTTTTTGGCGAATCCCCCAGGTCCAAGAATTTCAAAACATTCCAAAAGCACACAAACTTTAAAAAACACGAATTTTTTTGTTGAATCAACTGAATGCTTTAACACTACACGTTATTTAGATCATAAACAATTGTTTCCACGCTTCAATAAGGATAATAGGCGGAATAGTATGTTATCCTTAAATAAAGACATGTCATTGACTCCCACTCAAGGTGAAAATAATTTATATTTAAAATTTTGCTTTATTATTTATTTTTTAAAAAATTGGTTTTTTAATTTTTATCTTTTACACAATATGTTTTTCTTAAATATTTTACAAAGAAAATTAAATTTACTTTTCTTAAAATATTATTATAAATCACTAATCATTTAATAAAGAAAGATATATTTAATAACAAATAAGTAGTAATATGGGAATTTATTTTATTAAATTGCCTTACCTATAAAGTATATTGCATTAGCAATTTGTGAGAAAGAGGAAAATATTATTATTTATTAAATTATAAACACCTGAAGAGTAAAATAATTTCCATATCTTTTATCTAACAATAATAATTTTCTATAAATTTTACAAGGCAAAATATTTTATAAGTGTCTATTAGAGGTATTATAAAATAACAATTTATCTTTATATCTTTTATGGGAAAAAAAAATTAATGTGTCGCTCAAAGAAACTTTATACTTTGTCTAAAAAAGTTAAAACCTGCCAATAATTTATACCTATTATCTGTTTTAATTTTAAAAGTATTTTTTTTCCACAAAAATGTTATAATGTTAAGGTTTCCGGGTTTTCATTGAGAGAATTTTATTATAAATGTATAAATCATAACTAACTTTAAGCAAATTAAATTTATAATAAATAAGGAAAGAATAGCAATTTTATCAAAATTATACTTTGTACGTAGACCCTAGACGGAACCTTATTAATTTTTAGAATTTTTCTTTAATTGCATATTTGGAAGAGGATATTTATAAATAGAATAATACTCACCCATCTGTTTATATTCAACAATCACTTAGATAATCGGACTAAAATATTCACGGATAAAAATAAAATATTACAATTTAAGCAAATATTTAATATACTTCGAAAATTTTTTTTTATTGTCGAATATAGGGTTAATTAATGATCGTAGGTCAAGGGCCTTTAAAAAAATCGATTCGGGCTCATCCCGCCCTTATATTTTTAAAAAATTCGGGCCTAGTTGGGCTTAAATTTTGATATAAATCTGATATTTAAAATTTTTGCAAGAAACAAACAATCTTATTCTCTTCGGGTCGGGCTTTTCGGTAAAAATAAAAAAAATTCTCAATCGAGACGGGTCTGACTTTTTAAAAATAAATTTGACCGAGACTGAAAAATTAGGCCCGAAACAGACTTATACCCTATTAATTCATTGCATTTTTGTCGGGCATTTAGATGGATTGGTCCAATGATATAATATAAATATTATATTTAATTAATAAACCCTCCGTTTTCGTTCTAAATTGAAGAATTTGGGAGGTAGGGCACTCTCACAAATCTAGGAAAACTGTAAACCCAATAATAATTATTTTTAAAACCTGCCTCCCTCTAGTGCTCCTGTTTAGTAATGCTAAACAGATATATTTTGATATATCATTTAATATAAATAAAACTTTTTTGATAAAAAAATATGATTTTGTTTCGTGTACTTTCTAAAAAAAATGAAAATCAAAGGAGCGTCTATGGAGAGACACTCCTTTACTTAGAGCGGGGGAGCTAGCTCTGAGAAGGTAGGAGCGGAAGCTAGCTACTTTTAAAAAGGAGCGTTAACATTTCTGAAATTTACATTAAAAATTTATATTAATAAAGAAAATAAATATAATAGCAGAGTTGGGTTAATTTACTTTTAAGATAAATAAACTGTGGTTTTTTTATCAAGCATATTTTTACTATTTTATTATCTGGGTCTTCTTGATTAATAAATTTTTATCTGGCATTCTTAAACAGGAATTAAAGAGTAAAAAAGAATATCTCAGTATTATTTTCCAGACTAACGTTGGTCCTTCCTAATATTAAATTCAAAATCTATTGAAATTTTTAGCAATTTATAATAAAATTTTATGAATGTAAAAATATTCGTCCCATTCCCATTTTATAAAATTTTAATTTTATAATCTCATATAATTTAATAATATTTTTACACTACCCTACTTAAGTACGGTTACTTTACTATGTATTAACTGTTACAACAAATATCTGCTACACCTTGTTTACATCAAAAAACATAATAAAATTAAAATAGAAAAAAAATACACATAAATTAAAAAAAAATAGATATACATAAAATATATAAATTTATTTTATTTTATTGTATCTCATTCATTAAAATTTTACTGTGTTATATTAAAAATATATTAATATTTTTTTTATATTTTAATTTTATATGTCAAAAAGTTAAAAAAAAATAAGTTAATTAATTTTTAAAATAAGGTATTAAAATTTTTTAATATGTTTCCCGAAATTTAATACATTTTAATTCTTAATTACCTGGGTAAAAAAATGTAAACAATATTTAAATTTATTTTTTAAAACGTAAATGTACAATGACATCAAAATTGATCACAAAATTTGAGATAGTCAATAATCATGTAAATTTAATAACTGCCAATAATTCTCATTTGAAGAGGAATTCTGATTTTGAGGATTTAAACATCAACACATCCACAAATATTTTTATGAATATTAAGAATACATATCCTACCATCGGTTCCTCAGGTAATAAAATAATTAAATCTTATTTTAATATTAAAGTTTATACATTTTTTTAAAAAATATTTTCTTTTGAAAACTTAATGAAATACGTAAAAGATCGAGAATATATTCCTTGATATTTTTGTTAAGCTTCTCTAGTATTTATAAAAGATGGAGTATTCGTAAGCAGGACTATTTGTGCTTATAAATTAATTTTAGCTCAAATAGAAAATATTTTAGGTGTGCTGAGCTGAGTTTTCCATTTCAGCCACCCCACTATATGATAAGATCTCGCCTAATAAATAATATAGTATGCAGTAGGGGTCACTCTCCCTAAGCCAATGACGATTTACTTCAAAAAATTACCCAACTTCTCTTTAAATTTTGGCATCTACCCCTTTCTATTGAATCAAAATTAGAAAAAAATGAAATGCCAATCAAAACCCCACTCCCCCCACCATTCTCCAATTTTATTTAAATATCTATAGTATCTTCATATTTACCTACCCCCTTCTAATTTCAGTGATTATCTTGCGTCATAACCCCTACCCCCTCATGGAAGAAGTTCCTGGTTTAATAAAGTAACCTCAATGAATTATATATTTGGATGGGGAGGGATTGACAATTTTTATAAAAATTTATGTTTTTTTATTGTTTCATGTTTTGTATTGCATAATAATGTGATTTACATATTTATAACATCGATATATCTATTTTATGAGCATCATCTTGGCTTCCTTTTTTTAACAGTTTTAATAATAATGTGCACTCTCTTTGATGTGGCAAAAAAATCCAGTGGTTTGGAAAATTACAAGCGCGTAACCAGGATGGGTCAAGGGTGTAGGGATGGGGTGCAATTTTTTGAAATTATCTATAAGTGGTTTTGTAAATTTTTAAAATTAAAGTTAAATATATTAAAAATGTAAAAATAATTGCCAATTTTTAAATATATTAATATGAAAAAAACTCAAATATAAATAAACGCACAAAAATTTTGTTACAAAATAAAAGTGCATACAAGTCGATCCTAATATTTTTTTTCAGGCTGTTAAAAAGCGTGATATATTAGTGATCTACATCGGGTCTAATTTTTCAAGCCAGGCCCGGCCCGAATTTATTTAAATATAGAAATTAATTTTTATAATTACTCAAAATAAATATATGGCGTCTAGTTTCTATAAATAAAATCTAATATTTTTATTTTACATGAAAAATTCAACATAAAATTGATAAATTTAGATATATTTAAAAAAAAATCCAAGGCCCGACCCGACCCGGCTTAAATTTTTTTAAAAATATTAGGCCCGGCCCGAAGCCCGTTTGGGACGGGTACGGGCCGGACCTACTTTTGCAAATCTCTATGATATATTATAAGGAAAGCTGAAATTATTAAGTATTGTATTAATTTTGCAAACAATATTTATAAAAAGATTAAGAAAATAAAATAATTTAAAATTTTATAGAGATCCGAGTCTGGTCTGACTTAAAATTTTAAAATAAAGGTCCAATCCGACCGAGAGAAAATAATAAGTGTTGATAAATTGCTCCATTTTCTCGATTTTGAGCCGACACCTAAACGGCTACAAACATTTTCAAACTGAAATTGTCATCAGACTCAAGGAAGGAAGCCTAAAAAATCAAATCAACCCTGCAAGGACAGTTAATTCGCAGCGAAATGTATAAAAATACACAAAAAACAGCATATATTGTAAACTTCGCCATGAATTCTTAACTATGAATGCAGAGTTAAGGGCAGATTATATTTGACAAACGTATCAACCTGTACCGAATCAGCAGATCAATCATATCACATAAAAATGGGGGATGGGAGGGGGAAAATTATAAATAAAATACAATTGCATGAAAAAAATAAAAAGGTACCAAATACAGTTAAAATATAATAGATTAGGATAGATTTAACAGAAATTTTATATTATTATCGAGGCAATTTTTCAATAATTTACTCTGTATTAGGGGGGATCAAATATGTATATACCTTATTTAAAAAAACTAACCCATTCAAATTCAATCTATTTTCTAATGTCTTACTTATATCATACTATTCTTTGCAATATGGGAGATCAGGGCAAGTCGGCCCAATTTTTGTCAAAATCATTATAGGTTCGAAAATAATTGTATTTAAATTTATGATACCATAAGGTCGCCCAAAATTCTACCTAACGTTTTACATTGATAAATTTTTAAATTATTTTATACTTTTTTTTCAAGATTGATTCTCTAGTAATAGTTTTGCGTCAACAAGCCCCAAACCCGGGGCTTGTAGATTCACATAGTATCTCATAAGATAATATGAATTACTATTTCATTATTTTCATGGACAATGTTTTATTGATATAAATATACCATTTACATAAAAATAATTCATATAAAAATGACAAAATATGACATTATTTGTATTTTTTTCCTATTTCTATTATATTATCTAGTGTTGTTAAATGGCTCGTTTTGAGTCAATTTTTAAAAACTGCTAACTCAATATTTTATCCAAAATAATATTACGCAAGCCTGAAGATTTTGCTCATAGATGGCACAAAGGTTCTTAGACATCAATTAGCGAAATCTCTTGGCTGAGGGAATATTTTTCTGGCTAAAATATTGACTAGGCCGTTTTTTAATAATCGGCTCAAAACGAGCCGTTTAACAACACTAGTATTATCATATAGAATTGAATTAAACATATAACAGTGGCCAATAAATACTTATTTTATATTATATTATATTATATATTTGTAAGCATAATTTGATTGACCCCACTCTGATTCTAGCCTCTAGTTACTTAAACAATTAATATCTTTTAAATATATATTTCATGATATATGATTATGAAACTTACTGAAATGCGAAAAAAGGATTTTATATTTCATATAATGTCAAATTTATTATTTTTAAACTCTTTATATTTTAATGTCATCTAATATTGTGGTGTTAAAACATGTTGATTTTTACCAAAAAAACATATTTAATCATAAGAAAATTCAAATAGCTGAAAGGTATGAAATTTTTTCCGCAATGTACATTAGTGATCTACATCGGGCCTAATTTTTCAAGCCCGACCCGAAATTTTTTTTAAAAAAGTTTTGCCGGCCCGGCCCGAACCCGAAATTTATTTTAAAAAAATTTACCGGCCCGGTTAGGCCCGAATTTATTTAAATATAGATATTAATTTTAATAATTACTTAAAATAAAAGACATATGTTATATAGCGTTTAGTTTCAATAAATTAAATCAAAAATTTTTATTTTACATAAAAAATTCAATATAAAATTGATAAATTTAGATATATTTAATAAAATTTCCAAAATCCGACCCGACCCGGCTCGAAATTTTTTTAAAGTTCGGGCCGGGCCGGACTCAGGCTGGGTACGGGCCGGGCCTAACTTTGCAGATCTCTAATGTACATATTATACAATGCTATTTCAATGTCTGGTTTTTAAATAAAATCTTGTGCCGCCCTGGTTTCCTTACCTAGCTAAAATATACAAATACAATAATTTAAATATATTAGGAAATATTCTTAAAAAATGTGTAAACATGGCATTTCTTAGAAGATAATCTACGGTAATTTTTTTTTATATCATAACTATTTTACAAGTAATGCATCCTCATATACCCTCAGATTTTAATTGAGTTGTAAATATTTAATTTTCTTAATACTTTGATATTAACCTTAAAAAGATTCCAAGGTAATAACAGTTGTAAAAGTCATTGATGAATTATAAATCTTGAATTGATTTTAGTTAAAAATGTGTCTATTATGATGATTAGGATTATGATAAGGTATAATGCATGGTTATTACCCTGCAATGACCTATACAATTAAATATATTTTCTTTTTGAAAAGGATGGCAAGGAGATTTTATTCATTATTTAAAAATGCTAATTTTTTTAAAAATTAACCACGGGTTAAGGAGATTTGTCTCCCTCCTTCACTACACGCTATTTTATGATTTTTCGTTTTTGAATTGCATTCCCGATTTCAAAAATCAAAATTTTTTTTCTTTTAAATTCCATTATTTAATCTTAATTCTTAACATATTTTAAATTCATTAATACAATTTCATTTATAATAAAATGTTAACAATTAGATATAATTATTATTTAAAAAAATGGGAAATAAAGATAAACTAACATTTTACGTAAAAGATATATAAATGAATTAACTAATTATTTATAATATATCCGCTTATAAATCGTTTCTTGATTTCAGGAGATATAAATTTTATAATTTACAAAATGTTTCTCTGTTTTAATGTTTAACGCTTTTAACAAATTTATACTCCCATGTTATAGTTAGATTTTTAGCCGACTTCAAAAATTATTTACAGGTCATTGTTTAGAAGTTCAAATTTTATTAAACCCTTTTAATATATTACCCTATCCCCGTATCTTTCTACCAACTATTTAACCCTTAACTAACTGGTAGTGTTAATTAGCCTCAGAAATAATGTTCAGAAAAATGGGTCCCGCCTTAAATTGAATCACTGACTCGTCGCTTCACTCAATATAATTCATATTTCACAACCAACTGAATCACAGTTACCATTAAAAAAAGGAATGATTTTTATTAATAATATTTTACTAAATAACAAAAATTTTTATTAAAAAGTTTTTTATACCTCAAACTCTATTTTTTGATGAAAATATATCTCCGCCTCAAAGCTTTGACCCAAAAATTGCTTAAGAAAAACTAAAAAGATTATATATATACTCGCGCCCCAAGGCTATACCGATTTTTTTCGACACCTTCATTTTTAAACGATATTTTGATTCAGAATTTTTGTGTATTATAATATTTAAAAGATTATTCAAAAGGTCGAACTTGAAATCACCTTTTTAAATAAAATAAATTATTCTAGTCAAATATTTCTACCTAAGAAGGCCTTTTTAAAAAAAATAAATTATAGAAGAAAAAAAATTCATTTTATTATAAAAATTTATTTTGATTTTAAAGTGATTAGATAATAACAATATGATAAAAGTAAAGTCATATTAAAAATATTATAAAAGAGAAAAAAGTAAAAAATAATTATATCACATTTTATAAATCTAATATTTTAAATCTTCAATTATACATTTATATCTTTTTTTCACACAACCTAACTATTATATACCCTCTCGAAAGGGGGCAGCCGAGACACAATGACAATTATTTTTTCTTTATCATTTTAATTAGCCTTTATAAATAATAAATATAACTCCCTCCCCTACCTTTTCTTAATAACCATTAAAAATAAAAGTAGTTGCTTGGCAAAATATTTTCTCACGATAAAAAAAAGAAGAATTTTTATTGTTTAATTTTTCTTATTGTTTAATTTTTCTTATTGTATAATTTTTGTATATTTTAACTTTGCCACCCTAAATTTATTGTCTTTTTTTATTTTATCACTTTTGGTTTACTTATCATATCTAAAATAATTCACTATAGACAATAGTAAAAAAAAATATCCTATAATATAACAAATTTTAAAGAAATATCTATAAAGTGATACGCCAAGGGGGTTATGTTACATTTTATGAACATAGATTGGTGAGCAATATGTAAAGATTTTATAGGATCTTGACTGGGAAGGCCGACTTAAAGGGACACCTATTGTCATTTTTGGAGGATTTAAAAATAAATTATAAAAACTATTTTTGCAATAGTTAACACAATTTTTTTTAGATATTGACGAAATAAATGATTTATAATTATTATATTAAAGAAACAATAATTTATATTTGTGTTTGTAAAATGTAAATATAAGAACATAATATTTGAATTTTTTTTTTGTTTTAAAGCAAACATTATTACCTTTGATTTTCTGTTTATTAAAAAGAAAATGCTTATCAACAGTAAAAAAAAACTTTTATATTAGGATCATTTTTCCTATTTAAAAAAATCAAATTGCTCAGTTTTCTCCCTAATAAACGCTAAAAATGGAAAAATGGTACAAAGCTATACTAAATTAAGTTAACCTTTTTAAAAGTATTGTTTGAGCATTGCACTGTTGAAATCAAGCTTCGATTTACAAATAGCTATTGATTCTTATTTAAAATAAAAATATTCTTTCAGATTTCGGGTTTTGAATTTGAAACTGATATAATATAGAGACCTCTAAAATATACAAGCGCCGGTTTCAAATTTTTTGCCGATCCGTGGTCCGATATTTTTTTAAAAAAAGAAGCTTATAGAGAAGAAATCTCAAACTCAAAAAATGTAATTGTACCCAATTTTAATTGCTATGCATTGAATTTAAATATTCAGCAACAACTTTGATAACTCAAATTTTATCTATTTATTTTATTCATTTGCAAAATATGATATGAAAATGAATAGTATATGGCCCTCCCCATTTCCTGATTTTGTAAAATCTTTTCTTATTTTTTTAAAATTAGTTTTATGTTAATCAGACCAAAAGATAATATTTATAACATTAATAATTTTTGGGCCACATGTGACCGATACTATATTTAATTGATGATGGTGGTACCGCCGGTCTGGTGTGGGCCAGGATGATGGGTCGGCCCTGTAGGACTCTAATATAATTTATTTGATTTTAAGAAAAAAAGGTTCATTTTTTATAATTCAATATAAAATATTTATTTAACTATCTAATATCAATTTATTCTCGACTAGGTTCCGATGATTTAGGGTACGAAGGATCTTTGGGCTCAAATTATTCTCCTTGCAACACAAATAACCGTAAAGATGATATTTTATATTCTAATCCGAATCCTAGTATACAAACTAAAGAATCCATCAAAATAATTAAAAATAGAAAAGTGCAGAGGAAAGCATCAATCCAACACTATTATTACGGCGAAGAAAAAGAGGGCCTCAGAAATTCGGACATTAAAGACCAAATAATCTTGACAGAAAAGTATAACGGGGGTCTAAAATATAATAATAAACGCGGTAGCAAACTCAAAGAAAAATGTATCAATATCGCATTAGATTCGATGCATGTTGATTCCAGTATTTCGATTGACAGGGATTACGAAAAAGAAACTTTTAGGAAGTTTCCAATCAACGAAAAGGAATCTGTCTATGCGAGTGGAAGAAATACTAAGTCTATTTGGATCGATGAGAGAAGGAAAACATTAACGGAAGATAACTGCCATGATGTTCGCGTTCGAAATGATGTGCAGAATAATGATAGAGGAGTACACATAATGAAAGAGAAAAATGTGTGGACAAAACTTGAAAATCATTATGAACCAACTTCCGATTCGCAATGCAAAATTATTGAAGAAATAAACCCAAAACTTAGCTATACTTTTTTAAGTAAAACATTTTTATTTTATTACACGAAGATTTTTTTTGTAGCTTTCTTTTATGTACATTATTAAAGTTATAATGTTTTAATATTAAAAAAACAAACTTTCAATTAAATTATTTGCTTATTTACATTAGATGATCTCTTTAACACCGGTAAAGAGTGCGAAAACTTTGATCAAACGTTGAAATTCCCCTTGCCTTATTTAGATAAAACGAATTCAATATTCGTTGAAAGAAATTGGATATATACAAATATGATACAAGTAAAATATAAAATACATTATTTTCCATTCTTTAGCATTTACCCTGCATTCCTTCGCCGCGAATTCACGCTAACTATAAAGGCAGGGTCAGACTTATACTTAAAAGTAAAAAATTTAAAATGTGGTAAAAATATGCTTTGCTCTAATAAAAGATATTTTAAACCTGACCAAATAAAATTCAAGAATTTGAAACCCCCTTTTTATCCATAGAAGAGGAGGGGGGGGGGATTTTCCCCTATTTTTAAAAAAAATATATTCAAATTATTATTTATAAATTTTGAAAAAAAATTACAAAATTTTTTTATTGTAAAAATATGGATACTACAAAATTGTCACGTATTATATATATAATTATATTTTATATTTAGCCTTTTTAAATTTTATTAAATATAATGTATAGTTAATTTGAAGGTTTGTATTTTTATACTTAGTAATTAAAAACTATAGTATGGGTTAGAAGAATGATTATAATTCAATGTGTAATGTTTAAGGGCCATTCTTTTAGAATTTAAATTTTATTGTTATATAGAAACTTAATTTAAATGGGCTCCGAAACAAAGATGAAGATGAATTGGAAATTAAGGGATTCGTAATAACAGGAAAAACGGGTTCAGGGAAAACTGCTATCTTAAGGGAAATACTTAGACATAGTCCAGTTTTTAGGAACGATGCATCCGCTTTGTTAAATAATGCTTCATCAACCAATTATGACATATCGTTCATAAATGGTAAATAAAACAGTATTTAATTTATATATTTATATTAAAAACGTGTAATTTTAGAATAATAATATAAACTATAATAATTTTAACCCTTTAAATTTTTTAAAATAGACAATTTAATATTATCGTTACAAATGCGGGAACGACAAGCTCAATCAAATAATCAAAACTGTTCATACAATAAGGATAGCGATAAAGACAAAAATTCTCAAAATTATCGGTGTACATCCAATAGCATTAACAACAATATTGATAGCAACAGTCAATTAAATCACCCTAATCTATGCACTGATAGACTATTACTTACGCCCCAGCTTCAAAGGAGAAATCGGAGGCTGGAAAATTTTTATGATAAGGCTGGTGTTCCTAAACTAAATAAACATCAAACAGAGTATCCTATTATAACGACCCCGCTCTTATTCAAAAAATTCAGTACCAAAATGTCACCCGAATCCATAATTCGCAGGAAAACAAGTTTGCTAAACGCTTCGGCCTCCTTTCGTATTCCTAACAGGAGCCCGCCTACAAAACCATTAATCATGACCCGATTTGACAGACGCGGCGCTGATAAGGAAGAAATTGACGATACAAGAAAGACCATTTTATTAGATAAGTTTTCCTCTAAGAAGATTTCTGTCCTTCATAGTGGCGAAAACGAAACTTCTTTTGATGACCAAATGATATTACCTTTAGAATGTCTGGGACAGAGCGTATTGGCTTACCACTTTTGCCAGCTGGAAGATGTGTCCACGTTGTCTGTTCCTCATTTCGTAATCAATATAGCTCGTCAACTCTCCCAAGCCATGCTTCACTATTGGCCTCTTCACTGTAATAACATTATATTTCAATCATCCTCGGTTGTTGAAGCCGACCCAGTCGAGGCCTTTTATCGATTAATAGTGGCTCCACTAGAGAAATTAAAATTGAGAGGCTGCCTACCTCAAAATAAAGCTTTCGTTATATTAATTGACGATCTCATTAACACGGAGACGAAATTCGATTTATGCAACTTCGTAACTTACTCCTGTCTCCCTTTGATACCACCTTGGTTAAAAATCATATTCACTGCTCGAGAAGCTGACCAACAAATGAGAATGGGAGGATTATTAACTAGTCAAGAATTCATTACCCTTTCGATAAGTCTTGATGGTTGTTCGGATGAGCTGGCCAACGAAGGCAAAAGTACAGACAGAGTGGTTTCAGTTAAGGAAGACGCATACCGTTTTATCGGACGGAGAATTCAATTGAATCCGAAGGCGATATACGATAATGTAGTAGGGGCTTGCGATAACGAATATTTGATGGAAACACCTCACACCGATTCTCGTCAAATTAATTCATCCACAATAACATCGAGTATGTCAATCGTATCAAACAATTCAACGTCTTCCTCTAATTCTTCCAGTTCCTTATCATCCTCTCATTCCTTGCATAATCAGATACCTCTACAAAATTCTAAAGTGAGGGATTATGAGCAGCGCCTTCAAGCGGCCACGCTTTTGCCGAAACTAGTGGATAATCTAGTAGAAATGAGTCAGGGCAATTTACTTTACATAGAAAGTGTGCTTGACCTGATTCAATCCGGGGATTTAGTCGTTAAAAATTCTTCCTTTAAAATACTTCCTCGCTCGTTAGATGAAATATTCGCGCTACGTTTTAACCGAGCATTTCCTATAGCTAGCACATTTAAAAAAGGTTTTTTTGACATAGCATTATCCATTTTAGTGGCTTCTTTTAGGCCAATGACTCGATTTCAATTCTTAAGAATTATGAATAAATGGTTCAAGGATAACTATATTGCCGAAATCAACACGATGCCAAATACACTCGATATTTCTTTAAACGACTCATTTTCCCTAATATGCGACCAAAAGAACATAAAGGAAAATCTCGTTTCTACCGATAAAGGTGATTTAAGGGGCATGGTTGATAATATCCTAGCAACTTTTACTAAATATCAAATTATTACGCTGCATCCTTCCGAAAGAAATGAGAGAGAATCGCTAGTAAAAAGTAGGAGTCGCAATGCCTATCTCAATAAAACATGTTTTAGGGACGTATTGATATATTTGTCACATCCATCACTACGGGATTGGCTTATCAATAGGAGTCATCACAGACTGAGATTTTCCATCGATTGGAAGTCAGTGTTTTTCTTTTCTTTTTTTTAACATTTAAACTTCATTTAAACTTCATTTGAATATTTTATATATTTTTAATACCTTTTTGCAATAAATTTAAGAATTGGACACCGTATTATATCTAACGACATTTTATCTATTCTTGAACATGGAAAAATCAATAATAATAGTAATTATTTGAATATCTACGAGGCGGCTTCGCATTTAATAAAATCTACAAATCAAGCATCTCCGGATCTTACAGTATTGAAAAAGTATTGCAGTTCCGAAATGCTCACTAGAGCTTTAACGATTCCGAATAACTTATATCAGCCTGATAGTGATGTTAGTTTATTTTTTATATATCACATTAATTTTGAAGATATGTTAAATTACTCTGTTTCTATATTAAAAAAAATTAATGTTTAATTTCTTTATTATTAATATTTAATATTGACTTTAAATAATTATAGATTAGTCGTTTGCTCATAATGTGTGGAGCTGATTCTAACATTCTTTTCAAGATGAATAATGATTGTCTTTTTACTTTGTTAAATTGGGCGGTAGCTGATCCAAGATTAATAGATTTTGCAGAAATGTTAATAGAAAACGGTGCAGATCCGTATGCTGTGAATGAACTTGATAAAATGAATAGTATAATGATAGCTTCCAGAGAAGGAAACATGAGATTTTTGCAATCATTACAACTTAAAAGGCCTCACATTAATTTTTGGAGGACCGATGATAAAGATTCAAGTGCTCTAGAATATGCCATAATTTCGGAGCAATATGACGTGATTACATTTTTGCTCACATCTTGTTTACCTAACTCAGAGACGGAATTCAATGCAATTACTAAACATATTCAAAGATCTTTTTTATTCGCATGCGCACATTCGAACATATCGGTAAAAACTTAAAATTAAATTTTAACTTTATTTAAACACTGATAAATTTATTTATTAATTTTTTAAAATAATTCTTATCTTTCCTATAGCACTTATATGTTATATTTATAAAGGCTTGCAAATTTATATTGGAGCAATTTCAACATAACTCACCAAATCCTAAGATTTTAGTTGATTCGTCTTACAACACCCCATTCTATATTAATATAAATTCTCAACAACGTTTTAATAACACCTACTATGCAATTACTCCATTGTGTGCTGCTATATTAACTAGCTCTATTCTTAACTCCCCCGATCTCAGTACAAACTTGGATATCAATTTTTTAAATTCTCAAGCTAAAACCCAGATCGATTTTAGCTGTGATAAAAGACAGCATACAATCCAATTTTTGGTAAATACCGCGAAGGCGGATATATATGGACAAGCATTCACTGCCCCTACAAATAAAACAGAGGGCTTATCTTATCTTAGGGGCGTCACTCCGTTAATATGTTGCTCTTATATTGGAGATCTTAAAACCTTTAACTTACTCTGCCAATATTATAGAGAGGAAAATATAGGCTCAAAAATATCAACCATCTTCTTTGAAGCTTGTGATGTTTTTAGTAAACGAACGGCCGTCATTTTTGCTGCCTCACAAGGACATTCATTACTTCTGAAACATCTGATCAATGAAGGTTTGATTTTTTCTACAATTTTAATATAATACAAAAAATTTTCAATTATATATGCTGTTTAATGAAAATATAAAAAAAATTATTTATTCAAAATCCTATATGCCATTTTTTGATTTCAATTAAAAATATTCATGAAAAATTATTAAAATTCAATTTTTATAAAATTTAATTTATGTTATAACAGGAGCCAACATTACTGCGCTGGATAAACAAGGCTGGTCAGCATTACATTGGGCATGCTATAACGGTCATACAGATGTATGCTTGTACCTGGTAAAGAAAGCTCATTTTTTGCTCAACATTGTAGACAAGTTAGGTCGGACACCACTACACTTAGCGGCTCATACTGGCAGAAATATCATAGTAATTATTTCACCATTATCTTTTTTCTTAACTCTTATGTATATATTCTAAATTAATATTTTTTTTCACAAAACTTTTCTAACTAAATTTATAATTAAATACTATTATAATAAAGGTTGAAATGTTGATAGATATAGGAGATTCTCCACTTGACACCCTTGATAATGAAAGCTTATCCCCTCTAGACTTAACAATTTATTCACATCTACGAGATATCGAAAATAAAATGTCCCATACGTCATACTCCTTAAAATTACTTAATCAAAAATACGTAGTGTCCGAGTTTGAGTATCTATCAGATGCCTCGCATACTAATAATGAGAATGACATTTGTACTAATCCATATCTATCTATAATAAACACATTTCTGAACCGAGGAGCCAAGATTAGAGCTAATGCATGGAAGCTTATGAGTCTTGCAGCCGATTCGCTAAATTTAATCTTCACTTCGACACAAAATGAAGCCAAAATCAAAACTACACAATCATTTTACTCCCGAAACACTTCATTCGTAAAAGCTATTAAAGCCGTTCTTTCGTTGCAATACATATTTTTGTCCAAAATAGTTCAGGATGCCAAAGTTCTAACGCACACAAGCTCCACGATACCAGACGCCGTTTACAGGTACGAATACGCACTGAAAAAGTTTCCATCGATCAGTAAAACCAATGCATTTGAAGATGGACACAAATCCCCACGAGAAAGTGGGATAGATATTTTGGCTCTAGTCAGTGAGAAATGCGACGATTTGGTGAGCTCTTTTACAGAACTCGAAGTCAATATATACGTCAATTTATCTCGGTGCAAATTATTTCAACAGGTAATAATCAATAGTATTTTATATTTATTTTCCCAAAACACTTAAAATTATATCATCTTAGAGAAACCAAACTATTTCATTCATATTTTTTTTTATTTAGAATTATCCGCTAGCTATTGATTATGCTTCCAAGACCTTAAAAATTAACCCAAAATGTTTAGAAGCTTATTACATAAGAGCCCTCATCAATAAAAGTCAAAAGTAAGTTTATTTCAAAATTATTTATATTTGATGAACTTGATTAAAATTTATGCAACGAAAAAAAATTTTCAATCACCCATATTAATCATGTTCTTATTTATTTAAAAAAAAGTCAAATCAACAACGCGTTAAAGGACATCAAAAACGCCAAGGAAATATTAGAGCCGGAGAATAAAACGTATAAATCTCTATTAACAAACCTTGAAAATAGTTTGACGGATTCTAACCTTAATATAAATTTCGTTTTTCCCGTGGCTTAAAAATATTAAAAATTTGTAACTATTATATATCAGTATACATTTATTTTAAAAATATATATTTATTATAATAATGAAATTTTGTATAATATATAATAAAATAAAAGATCTAATGGTATAACTCAAAATAAAACTGGTTAATATGGAGTTCATTTGCTTAAATTTACTGTGATTGGCAAAATGCATTTAAAAAAAATAAAAAGAATATTTTTAGCCAAAATTTAGTGAAACCACCAATTTAATGTTCAAATACAAATACATCTTAATTAGGGAAAATAAAATAGATCCCTGTATCGTAGACTCTTTTTAGCGATTCAGTTATCCATGAAATTTAAAATTTTATACTATTTAATCGTAAATATCATTTTTTTTGATCTGACCCGGAATTTTAAAAATCGGAATTTTTTAATTTTGGTTCTATTTTATAAATGGTTTCTTAGGAAGATTGAAAGTATATAAGCGACTGGATATGATTAGTGAGCCGCTGGGGTGAACTGGCCATAAGATCAGGTAAGCAATTTGTCCACGAGGCCACGAGAAAATGTCGATTTTTGAGGCCCATCAGAGGAAAATATCATATCAAAAAAGAGGCCGATCAAAATTTTTTTTTATTATGTTCACATTATTTTCTCTTATCATATATTTATTATTAATGATATCTCTATTATTTGAATATCAAATTCCTTGAGAATTATCATATCGTTTACTATATTTTAATGGATAAAATATCAATGACGTCGCTTGATGTTATACATCATTACCACGTGTTTTGTTTTTTTCTCAAAAGTGAAAACGCTTTCGTTTGAGTTTGAGTAGAGTTAAAGCTAAGTTTTGATTAACTTATTATATTATAATTTTATATTTATTTATGTAGAAATAATATAGCCAACATTTGTGATTGTATTTCTTGTTCTTAGTTCATTGAAATTAAATAAAACCCAGGTATAATAATTTTAATAAAATAAATTTTTAATCAATTTAATTTTCCAATGTTTTTTTAAATATTAAATGATTGTTAATTTATGTTATTTTATTACTAACTAAGGTGCTATATAACAATAACGATGGTAAGAAAAACGGTTTAAGTTATAATTATTTTATTCTAAAACTAAAAAATGAGACTAAAAATAAATATAAAATAAGGTATATATATATGTATTATAAAAAAAACAATTTAAGCGAAATATATATTTTAAAGCAAGTTAAATAAAAAAAATCAATCAACATTCCCCTTCTTCTGAAAAGCCTTCCCATAATCCATCTGAGCTATCATAGAAAATATGTCGTTCAAATGGTTGTTCATTTTGACTGTTCAAGTCGTTCATAAGTCATTGTAGTCGTTGGCTTGATTCTATCACGTTGGTTTGTTAATATCGTTTGAGTACGCTGGCTCGTCGTCAAGCTAAATTCGTTATCATTGTCAATTTTACAAAATTGTTATTATCACCAATGTAAAATTATCATTATTAAATAGGATTTCAGAATATATGAATAATTAGAGAATTGATCAAATTTGGATGTTAGAATAATAAAAGGATGATAAATCAACAAGATTGTTTGATAATATTTTTGGCGTTTTTATTTTTTATATGATATTTTTAGCGTTTTTATTTTTATTTTGTGTTTTAGTTTTTAATTTATTTTTACATATTTTAGTATTTATTTTTACCTGTTTTAATATACTAAGTTATATAATCTTTTAGATAAACAGGTTTTTGTCTACTTCGTATCGGTCTAGGATTCGGTATCAATATTTTTATCATTAGTTTTAATATTTTTGACCTCACTTCCGTCCTTCTTAGGAGAGTCATGGTATGCAAATGTGTTATAGCATTCTCTCTTTCTTAATTGGTCTAGGTGTTTCCTCTAATACCCTTTTCTGTATAGACATAGAACATAGTGTCGCTTTCCTTCAAATTAATTGTCCCTTTGTCACACGTGTCAATCCCTTGTACTTTATAACAAACAAAATCTCCTGTGTTGAAGGTTCTATTTCGTAGTAAAGTAACGTTTATTTTATTCTCCTTCTCCTCCAACGGTCTCAATAAGTCCCATTTCACTCTAATATCACGGTTAAACATCCTCTTAGACGGTGTAACTCCTGTAGTGTCATTACGAGTATTTCTGTAATTAAATAAAAATTTGTCATGATTAGCATGAATCCCCTTGGCGTCAATATCATGACCCAGGAACCTAACTTTATTTTTAAAAAATAAACTTTTGGCGGAGTTAGGTACTAACCAGTACGATAATATTCTCTCAAAGACCTTTTTGATGTTGTTATGTGCTTCATCGTTATTTCCAGTTATTAATAAGTCATCATGATAAAATATGACATCTTTCATATCACCGAAAATCTGATCCATGATTTGTTGGAATATTGCAGATGAAGTTTTCAACCCAAAAGGAAGTCTGGTAAATTGGTAGTATCCCATATGTGTAGATATAGTCAAAAATTTTCTGCTATTTTTATCGATCGGAACTTGTAGAAAAGCATTTTTGAAATCGATTTTGGTAAATTTTTACCTTCTGAAAGTTTAGCTATAAGATCATTTATACGTGGAAGTGGGTATCTAAAGTCTTCGAGAGCTGGGTTTATAGTGTCTTTAAAATCTGCGCAAAGGCTGATGCTCCCATCATCTTTGTATACGGCGGTTATAGGACTCGCCCATAGCACATCATTTACAGGCTCAATAATTTTTTCGTGTGTCCATCTATTCAGTTCTTTGCCCACAAGATCAATCTTTGAATACGGTATACGTCTTGGTGGTATCATTGTAAGTTGGGCGTCACATCTTAAATGTAATTTGACATTTACTTTGTTAATTGGTTCGCTAGTCAATTATGATTCATAATCTTTAATAAGTTTATTGATTTCGTCTTCATAATTGGTATCGACATTTCCTATGAATATATTTAAAATATTTTTAAAGGCATTGATCCAGATTCTTCCTAATAATGCATTCTTTCTCGACTCTACAACTACTGCTAGTAAATATTTAGTGATTCCTTCATAACTTACTTTAACCTGAGTTGTCCCGATGATTTTAACCAAGTTTTCGTCGTAGGCTGTAAGCCGCAAACTGGATTTCTTCATTTCTCCTATACCAATTTTTTTTGCCATATCATGAGGTATGATTGTATATTTTGATCCAGTGTCGACCTGCATAGTAGTAGTAATATTATTTAATTTCAAAGTAGTCATAAAAGCACTGTCATCATTTTTGTCTGTATTTTCAGCCAGGTTGTTGACATTGAAATCATTCTCATTATTATCTTTGACAGTGTCAACTTTATTTTCCCCAATTTCTTCAATGTTCATATTACAATTATTGCTATCGTAGAAGTTTTGATTATCATACTGGATTTGTTTTCTTTAATTAAAATCCTTCCACCTATTACGATCGTCATATTCGATTTGTTTTCTTTGGTTATCCTTATTATGCCACCTGTTGTTTCCTTCATAACTTGAATTGTTGTTGTAATATGGTAATTATTATGATTTTGATCGTCACATTGAATCTGCCTCCTCTAATTATAATTAAACCACGCGTTGTTCCTACCTTAGTTGTTGTTATGAGATTGATGATTATTATTATGAAAGTTTCTGTTGCTGTTGTTATACCGATAATTGTAATTTTGATAGTTACTATTATTATACTGATCATTTCTATAGTTGTTATTATTATAATTGTTATTGTTATTAACGTTACTAAAATTTCTATTCCTGTTGTCGTTAACATTACTAAAATTGTTATCACCATGAATTCTATTCCTACTATCAAAATTTTGACTCGAATAATAATTAGGTCTATTATAGTTACTATTAATCTCATTCCTATTAGAAATACTTTGGGTATCTAAATTCTTATCATTATTTCTATTATTATCATTATTTTTATTAAATTTTTATCCCTACTAAAAACATAATTAACATTGTTATGTTTTGATTTAATGTTAATACTATCTAATTTTCTTCCTATTTCAATCATTTCATCTAATGTGTAGTTAATATTTTTATTTTATTTATTTTTTATATTGTCATTTACACTATATGTTCTCAATTTTTCTTTTATGCGATTATCATTAATAAAATTCCATTGTCTACTTAATTTAGACAATCTAAAAAACCATTCCAAAAAAGATTCATTAATACCTTGTGAAGCAAGGTTAAACTTCCCAGTCAATATCCAAACATCTTGACTGGGTAATAAAAATTTTAATTTTTTAATAATAATTTTATAATCTTTGATATCTTCCTTAGTACATAATGACTTAATTTTATCGTATAGGTCATCAGATAAATTGCTCATCAATGTTTCAATTTTTACTGAGTCGGATAAAATTGTTTGAGAGAAATAATCGTCAAGTCTTTCCAAGTATATGTAAGGGTCCCTCCAACTTTGGGAACTTAACTTCCCTGTTGGAAGATATGCTAATTTTATCACCCATAATGCAGATTTTTATTTTAAAAACTTATTTAAATTAGCAAAGATACATATTGTCACTATTATGTATTCAATTTTTTTTTTTTAAATTTACCTTGTATGTCCTTTATGTCGAGTAATTTTTATAATTTATTACATAATTCCAAAAATTTTGTTTTATTTTTTTATATTTATCGGGATATGCACAGTATATATGAGATTTTTTTATATATCATTGTGAGTTATCATTCCGGGGCACCATGTTATACAACAATAACGATGGTAAGAAAAACGGTTTTAAGTTATAATTATTTTATTCTAAAACTAAAAAATGATACTAAAAATAAATATAAAATAAGGCATATATATATATGTATTATAAAAAAAAACAATTTAAACGAAATATATATTTTATATAATAGCAACTTAAGTTAAATTAAAAATCAATCAATCAACATAAGGTCAAGGAAAACAGATTTTTAAAATCTTACCTAATATTTAGATTATAACAATTTACTTATTATTTATAAAAATTTAGTAAAATTGTACAAACCAAATATAATAATCAACTTTATATAGCTATTTCTACACTTATTTACATGATCATTGAATTGAGATGTATGTAAAAAGTCGAGAGTAAACAACTTATTCATATTTTGTAACCATATACAATAATATTTTTTTTATTATTACTGGCTGGTTCATAAGATTTTTATAAAAATAAGTAATTTTATATGAAATATGAATTTTATTTGAATTTCCAGTTCTTGAGACATTTTTTTTAGCCTTAAGTTATAAATGAATAATAGTAAATGTTTTATGCAACATCACATATGAAAGGATAACCTAACAGGATGACTTTATTACCTTATATTAAAATACAATTCTTCAAAAAAATTGCATTAAATTTAATTTTACACTTATCTTGTTTATATTAATCATGGGTAACAATGTATTATTTTTAGTTAAAGTGATATATTTTTAAATATCATGCATAGAAATGCCAAATGTAAATTTATAGGTGGAGCTAAAAAATTAAGAGAAAAAATATGGTGCTGGTATCAAAGCAGCTGGTGCAGATCCAAAACAACATTATCTTTGATAAATAATAATATCTAATACTATTACTTCATGTAAAAAAAAATTTTTTTTTAGGAATATCAACAACTGCCTTTTATTCATCTACCTAAAACAACTATATTGTCTGCAACATCTTCATTTATTATTGCATCAGTTCAATCATTGCCACGCCCACCTAAAACTACATTAGCCACCATTACAGCAGATAAATCATTAATATATTTGAAAATAAATTATCTATAATTACAACAATTCCATCTTTATTATCCTCACACTTATCAGAAGCAACTACATCAATAATGCCTTCATATTTCGTAAAGTGGATTATTGACATTGGAAACAATTTCGCCATATATAGGAATATTAAAGTCATATTTATCTGTAACAATTTCATCATCTATTCTTTTAAAGAGCTCCTTCCCAGATATGCCACAAATTTATTCAGGGGATGCTACAGTATTTCCTTTAGAATTATATGCATACATGAAAATTTTAAGTTGCAATTAACAGCTACTGTACCTCAAAAACATACATTTTTAATGCAACATCCTATACAACCAATAAATGCTAAATTATATTATCGAATGGTAATTAGAAAATGTAGTACAATAAAACTAATATAATGCAATAAAGCCTACTCTTTAACAAATCAAAATCGAAGGAAAGAGGTTCTCTTATAACCTATTGCCAAAAACAACTGTTAACAAAGTTATTGATGTTGTTCTTGATCTAATCAGGAATTTAATAAAAAAGGAGATGGGTAACAGAGGGTTTATTTTGCAAATGGATAACTCAAGACATTAGCGTTTATGATTAAGCAACAATTTGCCTACAATACATATATAATGGCAAAATAACAGAAAGGCTTTTCGCACTTACAAAAGTTACAAACTCTTCTGGAAAAGGATTTTATCTTGAGTGAATGCTTTTTAAAACATGGAATTCAGGTGAGAAATATAATTGGAGAATCATTTGATGGTGCTGCAGATATGCGCGATAAATTTGTTGGGTTGCAAGCTCTTATTAAACAAGAAGCTCCGTAGTTTGTATCTTTGGCGTTACAGTCACATATTAAATTTCTGTATATGTGATTCATGTGATAATATTGAAGGCAAAAATTTATTTGGATTATTGAACAAACTAGCAAGTTTCTTTGGTGAATCACATAAAAGGATGGATGCTTGAGTGAAACAGAATAATTCATTTGGCCAAAATAAGTTGAGAAGGCTGCAAAAAATAGGTGAGACAAGGTGGTCGGCACGTGAAAAATCTCTTAGATGGAATGGTAAAGAGAGCTTGCTCCCAATAACGATAAATGCACTTCAACTTATAATATATAGATAATAAATTATTTGAGGCAAAAACCTCATTAGAAGCGCAGTCTTTGATCAATAATTTATGTAAATTTAATACTCTAAGTACAACTATAATATATTAAGTAATTTTTAAAATAATGGGACTACTGTCATTATATTTTCAAATTAAAAATTTAGATATTGTCAGCATGGAAGATGCTAAGTTTCCTGTATCATCGATAACTATTACATCGATTCAAAATAAAGCAATAAAAATGGCTTCTAATTTAAATGAAACACTTTCATATTTAACTCCCGGAGAGTATTTGGGTACAGAATGTTGTGCCAAAAAATCGAATAGGACGAGCGAAGAGAATATATAGTGACGAAAGCCAAGATGAACGTCCTCAAGAATCGATTGACCTTTATAGGGTCGGAGTATTTCGTCCTATAATTTATCAAATTGTAAACAGCTTGTCAGAACGGTTTTCTGCGAATAGAGTGCTTATTTTGAATGTGCAATATTTGCATCCAAGGCATTTTGATGAAATAAATAGTAAAGGTATTTCTAAAAAGACCTTGGAAAAACTAGCACAATTGGCAAATATATTGAGTGTTAAATTACGTAACGAATTGTGTTCATTTGCCAATGTAGTCAAAAATTTAATAGCAGAATTAAATAAAACGGACGATATCGTTTGTAGACAGATTTGCAATAATAACCATATAATAAAACAAGCATTAGAGATAATAAATTTATTAGTTATACAAATTTATCCTACAGGGGATCAAAACACAGCAAATTTGTAAATAAAAAATTACGGAAATTTCTTTGGTGTGATAAAATCGTCAGAGAAAGCTATAAGGAGCAAACTTAGAAAAGATAAGAGGAGACTTTCGATATAACAAAATCCAAGGGAAGATGTTTTATAAAATCGTTGTTATCAAAGGCGACAGTTAGTAAAATTATTATTGCTGTTTTAGAAAAATTAGGATTAATTTTAAAGATGGAGAGAAGTAGAAAACGATTTCATTTATAAAAATATTCGGTTACTTGTAAAGCAAATTACATAAAAGATCTTCATGGTGTAAGTCCTTAATAAAATTCAAACTTTATATTACTTTATACTAATGGCCAAATAAATTAAGATCCAGAGATAACGCTTCTTATAATTCATGTTTAAAGAATGATTTTAAAGTAATTTGCGGATGTTTTTATGAAAGAAATTAAGTTTAAGCTCCAAATTGAAAAAAAATCAATTGCAAAACAAGTGACAACTATCTCTTAGTAGCAGACATGCTCTTTAGAAGACTCCGATATTTTTTAAATATATCTAGGCATAAATAAAATTTCCCTTTAAGATATATATATATTATAATTAAGTAAAGTTTGCATAATTTATGTTAAAATTTTAAAATGAGCTTAAAATTTTTTAAAATTTTCATCTATATACAAAAAGTATAATTAAATGATTATATATAATAATAAATTTTACTAATAAAAGCATTCTCAAAATTTACATCATTGAGGCATTTTAGTTTATATGTAAAGATATTTTTGAAGTACTTGATGACTGTTGAATTTTTCGCGGTACAAAAGTTTATTTAGAGGACAGCGCAACCTAAGCGGGACGTATAACTATAATTAATATTTAAAAAGTTTATGATTCGATTTGTATGATTACGAATAATACAATTATTAAAATCGCAGAATATTAATTAAATTATTTAATTCGTGCGAGTAATTAAAATAGTAATTAAAATCGAATATGAATATTTCACTGATTTTAATTTTTTGTCTTTTTAATTAATATTTTGTTCTCTTTAACCTTTTTGCATGAAAATAAATAATTTTAATTTAGCTTCATTCTCCTTTTTCCGATATTTATTCATTTTTAACATAAAAACAATTGTGAAAAATTAATTTTTAAATGGGTAAAGAAAATGAATTAAAAATAACTATTATAAATTTAAAGAAAGAGAATGAGCAACGGGTGAGTTTTTAATCAGGCAAAAGAAACAAAGAGATGGAGGATAAACCCCAATAGTGTGGCTAGGGAGACACAGGAACTCAAGCCCCCTAAACACTTTGGAGAACGTCTAAATTTTTTCTTGCTAATTTAAGTTAGAAATACTTTTTTTGTTGCTTATTTTGTTTATATGATTCCTAAACATTACCCGTTGCAAACCTCTATATCCCAATTTTTGTGTAATATTTCATAATTTCATTTGTATCCATCTATTTATTATTTCACACATTTGCGTTTGATATTTATATAAATAATAGGTAAATATTAATATTTATATATAATATAAAATATGAGTCATAATATTTTATTCCTAAAATGTGTTCATCTTCAACCTATCCTTATGTCCTATAAGTTATAATATAATATCCGCGATAAAAATCTAAAAAATATATATTGCTAAATTCACAATTCCTATTATATACATGATCAAATATAAAAAATAATATAAATGATAATAATATAATATTAGTATATATATATAATAAAAACAAATTATTAAATATTAAATTAACATTTCTCTCCAACATGTTAAACGTTGAAACACACAAATTATGCATTAACCTTAATGTTGCACGAAAAACTTTTCTATTTAAAAAAATTGATTTTTTTTGGGGGGCAAATTATTAATCTAAATATTGTAATATAATAATAAGAGATCCACAAGGTGTCCCTTTAGAAGCTGATCAGTTTGCATAAAATTTCAATTTTCGATCAGGAACGACCCTGGTTTCTAATGATAGTAAATATAAATAAAAGCGATAAAAAACTAGCGGGAAAATAAAAACAAGAAACTTTTTTTTATATATAAAATTTAGAAAATAAAAAACACATTCCAAAAAATATAATATCAAATTTTGTTTTCATATACAATATAAAATTTATTTGTCATCATTTTTTTGTTTGTAAGCTTAATTAGGTATTAAAAAATTTTTTAATGTAAAGGTTATGGATTTGGTGGTGATTTAAATTAAATAACCTAGATATCACTGTGCGAAAATGAGAGGAAGATTCGAAGTGTTGATGTGTATTCCTTTGACACATAATACTTTTATAATTAACATTATCTAATGAAATGATGGGTTTTAAGGGTAAAATAATTATAAATAAAATGTTATATAATTTGAATTTCTTAAAGCTCAATTGAATAAATGTGCTATAATAATATAAATTTCAAAAAACAATCCGTAAATATTTCAAATAAAAAGATTATATAAAATTTTGTTTTTTTTTCAAAAGAAATAAGTTTTGAAATATTTAACTTTAAAAAAAAGGAAAATAAATGTGCCCAGGCAATCAGTCATTCTCTCTTTAATAATTCCTAATTTAATTTGCTTATTGCAATGGGGACAGGGAAAATGTTTTGCGACAAATGATTTGATTTTATAAAATGACTATATTTGAATTATATCGATAATGGGTAAGAAGATCAACTATTTTTGTCTACAACCATAATTCCAATCCCCGTCGTTTTCTCACTAATATCACTATCTTTAGTACATAAGTCTGTCATATTATAAGTGTCACTATTATCACAAGATATATTATCCCGTTTCCCTCCTTTAGACCTTTTATGATGGTGATTCGAAGATGCATTGTGATTAACGATATTGTTCAGCCCATTATTTGCAGTATGTTGATCATTTTGACTATAAATATACTTGTGAGCGCTAAGTTTTACGTTAGATTTAGGATTCGATTTTACATTGTAATAGTTATTGTTACTCTCCTGCTTGTTTTTATTCAAAATATTAAGGTTACCATTTAAAATTTGAGAGTTTTGAAAGGACTGATGCGCTCTCGGCACGGTAAAGTAATAAGGGGGAGGATCGGCAGTAAAACCCTGAGAAGGTAATAGATAAGCCGCATTGTTAAATTGAAAGTATGGAGATGGGGTAGGCCCGCCATTATGACTAGTATTGGTTTCAGCTGGAGACCCGATGAACTGAGTGGAATTACTATTATGATGATTGGAAATATTGCAGACCGGGGAAGAAACAGATGCGCCATTTTGAGGAGTGGGAGGAGGTTGATGATATAAGTTGTAATAATTGAAATAATAGCCACCGTTCGATGGATGGTGAGGAGTATATAAATCGGGATCAAAAGAGTCTAAAGAGTAAAAATGAAGGTTAAATGATCTCATCGCTTTTTTTAATAGTGAAGTTCAAAGGTCCCACCCCTAATAGCGGACCATTTAAGGGACCGATATTTGAATTTTAGTCCGGAGTCAAGTCGGGACTATAACTTACCTTAACTTTATTACATATTTACTGTATTATAATAATCCCCCAGGTCCTACTACATCTGATAAATATTTACTATAAACCTCAAATATAATAATAACTTTAAAAAAGATACTATGCTTACTTACCAGTTTCGTAAGATTTCGGATTAAGAGGTGATAATGGAGGCGCATTATTAACTAAAGATCTTCCAGGGCTAGCAGCCAGACAATTTTCGTACAAATAATTCGCAACTCTATTAAACATTGGGATATTTGTAAAATTATTCAAAATTCGACATTATAGTGTCCGAAAACTTATATTGGTTAGGTATAATGAATAATCGTTTCTTTTTTATAATATAAAATTTAGATTTTTAAAATAATGTATTGATTAAAAAAATTAAAATGTACTTTCTATATTTTAATGAAAAGGGCTGATCAAAAAATCGAGAAAATTTGGGGAATTAAAGAAGAATTTTTTTTTTAAAAGACTTTATTTACCCATTATTGTAAATCTGGGGCTGTCTATCAACGTCTATATTGCTGCTACAACTGAGCATATTACAATTGGGAACGTTACAGTTGTAGTTACTATTTTCAACTAAGTTCAGATTATTAGTCGCATTATTGATACTGTTTACACTGTTATTAATTTCTTCTTTATTAATCGGATTAGCACCATCTATCATAATATCGTTAGATTTTTGATGGTTTTGTATATTTTGAAAATTCGATAAGTAGCTTAGTTGACTAGGATTTTGCATAACAGGCGGATAATACATAGGATAATTTATGTTAGAGGAAGGGTGAATGTGAGAATTGGGGGAAGGAAGGAACGCACCCCCTTCAGAGAGATGGTAATATTTGTTGAGCCGGGTTGAGTGCGGGTTATAGAGAGGGGCAGGAAAGGCGGCTGTGTTTAAGGTATTAAATCCGGGGTTTAAATTGCTAAAATTGTTAGGCCTGCGACCGCTAGTAATTAAATTTTGCGAAAAGAAAAATGGGAAAATATTAATTATAAATTTATTTGAATTTTTAATTAAATAATTTTAAAAAAAACTAATATATAACACACAAATGAATCAGAAACACTTACACATAGTAATAATAGCACTGGTTGGCCTGATTGACTATCTGTCCAAAATTATTGCCCAAATTTCCGTAAACTCCGTTCCCGCCATAATTCAAGAAGGCCTCTTTGTTGCTATTATTATTACTATTAATATTATTATTGAAATCTCCTCTCCTTCCGTTCAACGTCAACGCCACGTTAGAACTCGTGTTGCTGTTATTTGTGGTATTCTTTTTGTCGGAAGGTGGCTTAGCTAAAGAAACTTTTATAGGTATTCCGTTCTGGCCTTGTATATGTTTGCTACCCTCCATCTCTTTCATAGCTTGTAACGCGTGATCACGCTCCCCGAAATGAACGAATGCGTAATCTTTAACCTTAGAACAATTTGAGTTATCATAAATTAATGAATTAAGTGGAAAAAACCTAAAGGTAAATCTCCGCTATAATAGCGACTTTGTAATCACCAGAGTGTTTAGATTTTTTTTTTAAAAATTGGATTTTATAAATGTGAGGATTTATGAATAAAATTTAACAAATATAAGAAAATCTAAAAATCGATTATGATTTTAATTGGACGATGACATGTAGTTAAGGATCATGCAAACATGTTGAAGATGGAAAAATACTAGTATAAATTCTGATTTAAGAAATATGTTAACTAATTGATGTGTGCTTGGAAATATTTTAATCTATGATGCGCTCCTCATATATTTAATCTAATCTAATAATTTAGAGGTTTAAAAAAAAATAAAAAAAAATTAATATTAATATTTGAGAAATAATCACTTTGCCACTGCTTTATTAGAAGAAATCCTGCCAAGCTTAGATAGAACATACTAAAGGATAGTATCCAAACATTTGTCAATGACTAATATTGTAAAATTTGAGAACCCGAAAAATGAATATTTTACCTGGAATATTAATTATAACAATATATTAGAATAGAACATTCTCTAATTATTACTATAATTAATAGATTACATTTCCTCTTTATAAATTTTTAAAATATTTAGTTTTTTTTATTGACTTCTCCAAATTTCAATGAAATTTGTAAAATAAATAAAAATGAAATTTAGAACTAATTATAATAATAATCATCAGACAAGACAATTTACAAGTCCATAAGGATATAAATTTGGTGATTCTTGTAAATTTAATAATAATTTTAATAGTTCCAATAGATGTTTGAAATGACACAACTTTTATGAAGGTTTCCGATATCCATTTTATAGTAATGCCCATCCCGTTAAATCATGTCGATCATTTGGAAATATAAATTCAAATTGTTCAGGTGATTCTATTGATTATGGTATAAATAGGATAACCAAAAGATCTTCCACTTCGTCTATTAACTGGTTTTCTTCAAAAGTTTTAGAAAATAAAAAGTTACAATAAAATATTCAAATGTTAGAAGATTTGATTAAAGAAAATCAAATTAGCCTGAAAATGAAACTTAATGAGGTTATTAAAAAAATAATTGGAATTTATTTATAACAAAATTATAATTGTAGAATCAGAAATAGCGATATTATCTGACGTACCAGAAATATTTTGGGATATAAAAGCCAAAATCAAAACATAAATTTTTATTTTTAATGAAAATGATTTAAAACAAACGAAATAAATTTTGTTGCTAAGAATATCATTATGCAACAAATCTTATGGACTAGATATTATTGTATGAAATTAAGAGACCGCGAGTTAGCTTTAAATTTAATAAATATTATTTCAGGCCAAATTAATCGCGATATTGGAAAATTATGCGTAATTTAGCAGAATATCGTCCAAAACAAGGTTTATTTTCTATAAAGGAGCTGGCATATGGGAGAGCTCGATCCATACCAAACCACCCATAGGCGGAAAAGGTTGTGCACAAATAAACCCCTTTATCAAGTGGCAGTAAGATGTCTTTCAATACCACCCTTAAGTCTCGTCAGAAAGAGTCTGGTCAGTTTTTGGAAAAATTCATTCAAAAACGAGTAATAGAATAAAGAGTGAAAGAGTCGAAAATTGATATCAAAGAGGCATAACATTTAAAGGATCACACAAATACATAATGTTCGGGATATCATCAAAGGAGTTCAGATTTCGATTTATCAATATCAAATATTTCAATTGCATCCCATGAAGATGTTGATGCTATTTCATTAGCATCCCATGATTTTTAAATGTAATTTATAATACATGCTTCTTGTAATTAATAAAGTTATTCAAAAAAAATGAATGTTTACAGTGTATTTTTGTCTTTATTGTTTAATTATTTTTTCCCCTTAGTTCCCCAAATTTAATAAAGTTATTTAATAAAAAAATGAAAGGTGTAAAGTGTGTTTTGTGGTTATTTTTTAATTTTCCGATATTTCCCCTAATTTTCCTTTATTTTCCCTGAATCAATTTTCCCGTGTACATCCCTAATTACTATATATTATAATTTTGACTATACAAATTAATCATATATATTTTAAAACCTTCTTGACATGTTGGACAGGACCGAATCGCTCGAATGCCTTTTTGAGTTCCGACTCCTCTACACTATTTGTGAGATTGCTAACATAAAGCACTTTTACCTTTATTTTTTAAAAAAATTTAATGTAAAAATTCGTAAATGAATTTATAACAATCTTTTAATTTTGATATTAATAATCAATCAATAATTAAATAAATATTAGTAAAAAAAATTAGAATCGATTTTAAACTTTAGCCATAGTCTCTTGAGGAGGTTCTTCTTGAACTTGAGCCCATTCAACTATGATGTCACAATTCCAAACCCTCTTAAAGGGCCAATTGTAATTGAGATTCCCGGTAGGAGCATTGTTATTACCTGGAAACCGTAAAAAAATTATTCATTTTAGGAGTGAAATATTAGTCGTGGTGATTTAAAAGGGTTATGGCCAATAGCCATGGTTAGGAACTATTAGCCATAGTTTTTATGGCTACAGCAAATATTGAGTTTTTGTAAGCTACAGCTTAATCGAAAGGGGCAATAGCGCATTTCCCTATCTAAATTTCGAATAGTTAAAAAAAAGGTATAAAATATATTTGATTTTGGACTAAAAAATATCAATTTTGTAATTGGCGAATAGCTGTACTGTATCGTGGTAAACCTGTTACAAAATATTATTTATAATAGCACCAATACCATTGGTACCAGAGAATAATGTAGTATATTTAATTTACTGGAAATAAAAGTAAAAATATATATCATTTAATTATAAAAGTAAAAGGCGATTAAAAATTGTATATAGATGAAATATATTTAAAAATTCATAGCTTGTTAGGCTAAATTTTTTTTTAATTTATGAAGGTTAACTATCATTTTTGGGTACTGTTAAAATTAAAAGTATGGGCAGATGCCAATATTAACCAAGTATCCTATTAGTGCATCTCTATGATTTATATATATGGCAATATACTATAATATAAAAAACTCTTATTTAAAACCCCCAATTTCTTTTTTTACAAATCTGGGCCGGTCACAAATCTAATGTAAAAAAATTAAGTCCAGAGACGAAAAAAGAAATGCAAATCCGGACCAGGCTTGCTAAATTAAAATATCTATAGGTAGTGTTGTTAACTCGATTTGAGACGATTTTTAAAAATGGCTAGCTAAATATTTTAGCCAGAAAAATATTGTCTCGAGATTAAGTTAATAGATGTTCAAACCTTTATGCCACTTATAAACAAAATCTTAATGCTTGCATAATAATTTTCCTAATAAAATATTGAGTTAGCCGTTTTAAAAAATCTGCTCAAAATGAGCCGTTTAACAACACTATCTATAGGTATCTGCACATAGAGAAAAATTTTTAAGTTTAATGTACTTTAACCTCCTCAGTATTTAAATGAACAACTAAATCTTGGTCAAAGTCACAATAGTATTTATAATTATAAAACTGCTTCCTCTATGTTTATAAAATCATAACTACCTTTTCTTCTTATAGTTTCCAAATTAATCTAAAATATTTCTGCATATCATAATAAAAAAAATACCTAAATTGTAATAATAAGGGCCAGGACCTAGACCAGTGGGGTTTATATTGCTATGAAGGTTATTGGTTAAACGTTTTTTAGCAACGCTAGCAGCCAAATGACTTTCGTATTGAAGAAAGCAAAACCCCCTGTTTTTGCGTTTCTCACCGGGAGTTGAATAAACAATAACGTCCACTAGGCCATCTAAATATTTTGTTTTAAATATATTTAAAAAATATTAGCCTATAAGTATCTTACCGTGGGTAAATGGGAAACAATAAATAACCAAAAATTTGGTGCTATAAAGTAAAACCTATCTTTATTGAGCAACATTTTTTTGAAAAAACCCTATAATAAAATTGAATACCATAGTCGAATAAAATTGAGAAAAATAAAATTTTAAGTAGAATCACAGAAGGGAAAAAAGATATTTGAAAATAACGCCCAATAAATTCCTACAAGATGTAATGATTTTTCCTAGTTTTGTTAGAGTTCAATATTGATATAATGAATAAAAAATAAAACCAGATAAGAAAATGGTATAAATATAATATATATTAAAAAATGACCAGTAAGTTTCAAAAATTCTTCAAATATTTCGTCCTTCCCTTTGGATTTTGGAATATTACCAACGAATAACCTCAAGTTAGGGATAGATATGTTGAGCTTTAGATATTTTCCAGGCCTGATCTCGTAATTGTTCAGCTAATTTTTTTAAATAGATTTTTTTGTTATAGCGTGTTAATTTAAAATGAACATGATTCGATTCGCGAATATCCATTTCTGATTATTCGAATAAAATTATTCATGTCGAATATTGAATTTTCGATTACATGCGTGGATTCGCGAATATTTATTTATTCAAATAAAAAATTTTTTTCGAACATTAAACATTCGATTCCATGAGCAATAATCTGAATGAATAATATTCAAATCGAGTGAATAAAAATAAAATAATTATTCAATTCGCATAAAAATATAAATAATGAGCAATCATTCATGGCTCAATAGGTAGTCAGTCGTTATTCGTAAATTTTAAAAATACCTCAATTTGGCAAATATTACATAAATTAGTCATTCTAAAATTTCCTTAATTCATATTTGAAAATCAACATGATAAGTAAATTATATTATTGGTTCCAGGGTTTCGAACCGAACTGAACCGCCAAACCGGAATGAACCGTTAGGATTTTCTGAACCGTAACCTTAACCGAACCGTTATAAAGAAAATATAAAAAGAGCAAACCGAACCGTTATAATAATTTTGAACCAGTTGTTTTAAAAAATAATTAATTTTAAATTATTAATCTATATTTGAAATTTTAATTTTCCTTGGGGGAAGTTTTTAAATTGGTGATTTCTTTTCAAATTAAATATTTTTTTATTATCAACATTATATATCAATTAATACCATGTTTTTTTCTTTAAATACTTATTTTATTAGAGATTAGGCTAATTATCTGTTAATTAGATAATCACACATAATTATTCTTGGCTAAATTAACAAGATTATATATATAAGTTATTAATAAGCTTTTATAATAATATTTGCAATTTAGGAAAAAATTAAATAAATCTACTATTAATAACTAACATCTAATAGAAATCAAGTACTTTTTACAATCATTTTTATATTATATGGTTTATTATCTCATTATAAAAGCTTGGATCATAGAATTTAAATGACAATAAATAAAATGGTCAGCAATATTTTAATGATATGATAATTTTTTATTTATAATCATATTGTTTTTTTAAATTTAGAATTCTAATATTCATTTAAGTTATTATAAATTATTTATTATTAAAATAATATTTCTAACATTTGAAGAAAGAGCGATCGCCAGAAAACATCTTTGTAAAACTTGGAACTTGATACAAAGTCTAAATAATCAGAATATTGAAATTCTAAATACTATGCCTACGTGTTCGCATTCGAAAGATAATTTTGATGATGATTTTGAAGATTTATTAAAGTCGCATAAAAGTCTTAATAAGAATAATTCTCAGGGCATAGAAAATTATAATAAATGTATAGAAATAGAATATATAATTCGGTCATTTGATAATATAGAGAGATTAGAAAAAGATACTAATCTTTTGAATTATTGGGGAAATGTAATGAATAATATGCCAGAACTTTATAAGTTAGCTATAAATGTGCTAGCAGTTCCAGCTATGCACGTATCCGTAGAAAGAGCATTTTCTAGCCTAAAGTTTATACTCTCTGCGCAGAGAACTAAATTAAATCCTGAAATATTAGAAAATATTTTCATCCGTTCTAATTCTCTTTTTAAACATAAATAGTATACCTTTTATTATATTTATGTGTTATTTTATTCATCATTGTATTTACGCATGTTTGTTTTTATCATTTATTTATGAAATAAAAAAAATTAATTTGTCTAATTTATATTTACTAAGTTTAATAAAAATATCTATTAGATTATCATGGTTAAATTAAATAAGAAATTATAAATTGATAAGATTTTTCTCTAAAATTAATATATAAATGGTTAATGATTAATTTTTTTTAAATCAAATTTATAAAAACCGGAACAAACCGAAATGAACCGTTATAAATCATAAACCTAACCGAACCGATATGAATTTTTTTTAAAAAAACCGATATGGAACAAAACCTTTATAAAATTTTAAACTAAAAACCGGAACAAACCGAACCGTTATGCTTAACGGTTCGAAACCTTGATTGGTTCCGATTAAAAATATTTGAATGTAAAATGTATTTTAAATTTTCTCTGTCCTATCTATAAAAAAATAATTTAAGTTGTAATTTAAAAATAATTAAATTCACTCAAAATTAATTTAAAAAAGAGATTTTATTATCTTTAAGTTGGCTTGCCAAATATACAATATTTTCACATAAAAATACCAGTACCAGGTATATCATACAACATTAAATTAATTAGACATTATATTAAAATGTAAATAATATAGTTTAAAAAACCGTTTTAACAGCTTTTTCGGCCATTTCTTTGTCGGGATATTGAACGAAAGCAAAGCCTTTGCTGGCTCCCCCGTTGGAGGAGTCGATCATGAGACGGAAATCCCATATTCGATCCACGCCCTCGAAAAGCGGAATCAATTCGTCTTCAAATATATCTTTCGGGATTTTTCCGCAATATATCTGGAAAGAACGGGAGAAGGGGTGGTTTAAATTATTCATAATTTAGATAGATTTATACGTTAAAAAAATCATTTAATATAAAATATTAAATTTTTTACAAAAATTTTATTATGATAAAACTCAGCACTTTTAAAAGGTAACCATATCGGAGGACCAATTTTCTTAAAGTCATTTTTGAAATGATCAGCTTTGTTTTAGAATTCTAAATGATATTTTAGGATAGAAATTAATTTTTGGTTGGCGCTAATCTATTACTGATTCAACTGTCCTTCTAACCCCCTGCATTTGATTGGCTCACTCTAGAACACGTGGTGAGTTGCATCAAAGATAGAATAAAGCCAACGAATAGTTTTGTACATAAGGTTATTTTTAAAAAATCCAATGCCAAAATAAGATCGGTTGTATTTAATCTTTACACATTATGGTAATTTTTAAAATATTCCCGAAACTAGGTAACTTATTTATCGGCGTAGGTTATTTGAAATTGAAATGTACCATCTTGTATTGTTAGGTTTTAAATAGAATCAGGTAAAATGGTTTTCAGCCCCAAATTAATTTTTATATCTGATTTTACAGAAAATGTATTATAATGAAATTTCAGACAATTTCATAATAAACTTTTGATAAAATTTTATATTTTTGTTTAAAAAGATTTGGAAAAATTAATATAAATTAAAATTTATTTAAGAGTTGATTATAAAAATGTTTGTAGGGCAGGTATATTTCACACAATATTGAAATACATTTAACAACCGATAAAATCAGATTTCTTTAAATTTAAAAAAACGCAATCAATAATTGATTTAAAATTGAAAAAACCACTCCTATCAAGCTATCGCCTTACCAAGAAATCAATAACAAGTTAAACCTCAACATCCCTCATAATTTTTTAAAATAAGTTAAGCTTTAATCGCAAATCATTATAATTTTTATATACATATCGGTGGATTTTTTGGAAAAAAAAAATTTTGTGATTATAAATTTATTTCAAGGATATTATTTTAAAACAAATTTAGTATCTTTTTACTATTATAGCTAATAAAAAAAGGTACCGCATAATTTAAGCTATTGGTCAAAAACTAGTTGTTTTTTTAGACATATCACGTACACTAATTTTTTAGGAAATTTAGGGGTTCTTGTATATTATTTTTATGTCATAGGCTAATTTTTAAAATTATATATTTGTACAACCCTGAAAACAGTTAGCGCGCGCGAATGCGAATTCAGATTATATCAACAGATGACGACGAGATATCTATATATTGATTATGTAGAACGAACCGTATTACATTTATAAAAATTTATGGACGGGGACGGCAATTAAATTGCGGTTAAAATAATTACCTTGCCATTTTAAAAGAATGAAATTTCGAGGTTAATAACAACAACTAATAATAAAATATTAATAAAAAAATAATTCAAGGTTATTTTTGGCATTTTATACATATTTATTAAAACTCAAACGAATCAAAACTCTATACAAGTACCACGCGAAACAAATAATAAAATGTCATCATAATATTGGATTGGATCGGTACCGATATTTAGCGTTTTCAAAAATATCGTATCGGGGCCGATATTTTTTTTTTATTGTTTTTGGTTATTTTATGCTTGCATAAAAATTTTAATGTGTAAATAATTTCCTAATAATAAATTAATAAAAGGAACTAAAAATACAATTTGTAGTTTAAAACTTTATATTATTTTTTGTTATATTATCTACACCAAGAAAAGGGTTTTAAAATATCTAAAGAATCGCATTCAGCTAATGTTGCTAAACGGCTCGATTTTGTCAATTTTTAAAAACGAGTAACTCAAGATTTTAGCCAAAAACAAATTACTCAAGCTTATTGATTTTGCTCACAAATGGCAGACTACGAGGTTTAGGTAATAATAATTTGGTCAAAATTTTGATTTACTCCTTTTTAAAAATCGGTTAAATAGAGCTGTTTAACAACACTGCATTCATTCATAAACATTGCAAATATTTTAAAAGAGATTATTAACTTTTGGAGAATAAAAATAATAAAATACACTTAATCATTCGTAAAGTTTCGGTAATTTGGAGCCGAAACTACCCCCCCCCTTCCTAATTTTCAAATTATGAATTAAAAAATATATATAATAATTGAGTGACTCGTTATATTTTATTGCCTTAAATTGAATTTTTTTTTACAATCATTTATTTGAAATATAAAAATTATTTGATCAGCTTTTCTAGCCTCGATAAAATATATTCATAATTTTTAAAAAAGGAATAAAGAAGTTCGCTAGAGGATGTGTTATAAAAATTTACTTCGTTCATTTATTTTAATTTTCGGGCCGAATGGGATTTGAAATTTGTTTTGCAGGCCTCTAAGGATAACTCGCTATGCGTAACGATATCGAGTTTACTATATTTTTATCTTATGTCTTAAAAATTATTAATTCAGAAAGTCGTAAACTTAGGTGTGTTATTAGGAATTTTAAGAAAAATACTTTGATATATTATCAGAAATGGGATCCCATAATCGAGTCTATTTGAGTACTCGTATATTAGAAATAGGAAGTTTCGACGAAAAAAAATAGGATTTCTCGAGGAAAGAGTTAAAATTATAATGGCTAGAAAGAGAACTTTGTAACAAAATAAGGTAAGCAAAATAATTTAAAATTTTGCGAGGAACGAATCCGGCCTGAATAAAACCTTTTAGTCCGCTACCGAGTCAAAGAAAATATCTCCGACAACTGATATGAATTTGGTCTTATCGGATGCGAGCAAATCAGTGCGTGGGCTTCAATAGAAACGTAGTTTATTTCATTCAAATAAACCATTATACAAAAAATAATGTTATCCATTTCTCACAATTCTTCAAGTCTTTCCGTAAAATATTCCCAAAACCACTGCTATGCCATATAATCTACAAAGTAGCTCCTACTTTGAACGTATATTGGCAAATGATAATAGAGAGAAGCAATTAGCAGCGTGTTTAAATCTTTGCCAAAAGTGTTCATAAACTTTTTTAAATTATTTTATCGGAAAAAAGCATCTATTCCTTAACAAAATTAACGAGAATAAAAATCAGCCTATGAATACTTTTAAAGGACATCTTATCATCTCAACCCAAAACATAAGCGGCATGTGCAATAAACTTATTTAAAATTGTTAACTGATAATAAAATAGATCTGACGGCTATACAGGAGACATATAACAAAGGCAACAACACCGCTACGTTTAATCATTTCATCAATATCTCAGGGACTACCGAGAGCCACTGGGCTGGAATAGCCTTCTTAATCAACAAAAAAAATCCTGAAATATATAGACAAGTTTGTTCCTATTTCAGAGTGCCGTATCAATGCAAACTTTCGTAAATAAATGTATGAGAAATGGCTGAATCATTATATGCATATCTTCGAATCTCGAAAACCTACCCAACTTTCTTTAGAACTCCAAACTAGAGATCTGCAAAAGTAGGCCCGGCACGTACCCGGCCCGAAATTTTTTATGTAAAATAAAAATATTTGATTTTATTTATAGAAACTAGACCCCATATAACATATATCGTTTATTTTGAGTAATTATAAAAATTAATTTCTATATTTAAATAAATTCATAAATTCGGACCGGGCCGGGTAAAACTTTTTTAAAAAAATTTCGTGCCGGGCCTGGTTTAGAAGTGCATATCGCCCTAACAAAAACATTTTGAAGCTAAAAGCACTCAAAATCATAATACAAAAATGCGATAAATACAAATTGCCTTTCTACCTTTATTGACTTTAAAAGAGCTTTCGATAGCATAAGTCATGATGCCTTATTGGGCATTCTATTGGAAGTTGGCAGATATAAATATAGTGAGAACATTAAAGAATCATCATAACAATTTATATGCTTCTTTTAGCTAAACAACAAGACGTCGACCTCGTCATATTTTAGAATTAAAAAGGGGTCAAACCGGGCTGCGCTCTTTCGCCTACCCTCTCCAACATTGCCATAAACAAAGTTTCTACCCTCTCCAACATTGCCATAAATAAAGTAATGGAGAATGCACTATCTGCTGCGACTTTTTAGAACTTAGTTTAATGAGTAATCATCACCTAATGGTATCGTATGCGGATGATATTGTTATTGTCACCACACGGAGCCAGGAAATTCACAACCTGATTTATGCCCTCAATTGGTATAATCGTAAGATAGGACTCGTTATCAATTTTGACAAAACGATGATCATCCAGCCATGCGACAACTGGTGATTTCACAATTGATTCGAAGAGCATCAAGGTGGTGGGTAAATGCAAAGAGGAATATTAGAATCCAAAATGCGAGGACAAATTTTTATAAATACTTTAAAATGAGGAAAAGGAAGATATCGGTATTCACAAGGCTAAAAAATTTAATTTTATAGTTATCCGCCATTTACTACCGGGGGGGGGGGAATAGGAGATAAATAAGTTGGAAAGCAGACTTTCATCAATAAATGTTTAAGAATCATAAATGCAGTTTTTTACCCTGGAAGGTATCCAAACACATTCCAGTATGTGTTACTCTTAAGAAGAAAAGAGGAAAATCGCTCATATCATCGGGAATTCAAATCGCAACCTAATACATTAATGCGCTGATTTTATTTTTTCAATGGGACGTATAGCAAATACAAAACACCGGAGTTCCATAGAGCAATGAAGGATATATCAGATTTAAGTATGAACATGAAGCAATTTATAAGAATGAAAAAATAAAATAGATCGATAAAGAAGTTGCTCAAGATTAAATCAAGCTACCTCAACTGCTTTCAAAGTTTATTTCATTCCTACGATTTCAGGAAGCTTTGCGCTAACCATGTCAGTATTTCCATCCAACAAAGTTTACTCAACATAGATGTATCACGTATCACGTTAAAAAATAAGTAAAATACATTATCCATTTATCATTATTCAGAAAATAAATAATTTAAGCCTTAGGATAAGTTCATATTAGTAATATATTTAATTTTTTATTTCACGTTAAAAGTCGTTAATTTATTTAATTAGAATAAAGTCATATAAAAACGACGTATTTAAAAATAACGAATATAGTCTAAATTTAATTTCCGTGAACAATGAACTTTGGGAATCGTTATCTGAGAAGCCACTACGCATAGGGAATATAGTCTAAATTTTTCTTCCGTGATGAACAATAGACTTTGGGAATTATCATCCGAGAAGCCTACGCATAGGGAATAATCTTCAGACGAATGGCTTTTAGTTGATATATCGTTTACATCAATTATCCGGATTGGCCCCTTAAATTCCTTCTCCTTCTAATGATGATGTCGTCTATCTATATTTCTTGTAAATTTTTTCTTAGCGGATCCAGCAGCTGTAGTGGTTGCTAAGGTGGTTAAGATTTTAGGCTGGATATTTCAAATCCTCGGGTGTTTCGCGAGCTTCTATGTGACAGGAGCGGCTGATGTCGAAGCTACATTCGGGTTAGGGATAATCGTTTTACTTCGTCTTGCCAACCTTCTAGCTCTTCGGGAAAGTCTGTTAATTTTATTATAAATCCCGTAGACATTATCATTATGCACAATGTTGGCTTTCCCTCATTATTGCTTATGCATGAATGATATAAAGGCATTCAATATGGAACTTTATCCTGGTCAATACTCGTGATAGTGGAAAAATTATGCGGCTGCTGGTGTAAGTATCAATTAAAAAATTCCAGGCAATTAGAGAAGAAAGATCTATTGACTGAATAATTAGCTTGGCGACCACTATTTCGGCTTCTGAAGTAGTAGTGGCAGATTTTTTGGCCTTTAATTTATCATTCCGCAATTTTTTATTATAAAACTTTTATTTTTAAAGTGTTTTTATTATGATAGAAAATTTTAATTTATTTAAATTAGTCATAATAAATAGTATATTTTGGATATTTAAATAAATTTGCTAATAAATAAAAAGATGTATTTATTTTATCATGTGCTGTCCGAATTTGAGCAACCGAGTAAAACCATGATATAGTTAACGTCTAAAGGGATATTAAATTTATCCCTCATTTACAACTGGCGCGAATTCGCGGCGAAGTATACAAAACATCATGTATTTTTGTATTCTTCACCATGAATTTGCGTTAACTATGAATGAAGGATTAGTTAACTAAATTCAATAACCCGATGTATTTACCTTGGTAACTATAAGTACAGTGGCATCTATAAGATTTTACTTGGGGGGGGGGGGGGGGGTAACGCCACGCCATGTATAAGTTTAACCTAATTCATTTTATTAGCTATACATAAATATGTTGTGGAATAGGTTATATATGATTATTTTTATCAAATCATAAAAAAAATACCGGACCTAAAAATATTTTAATTTATAAGGTCTGGGTCAGTTTTAAAATTTTAATTTAAAAATTATATCAATTAATCAGTCGGAAAATATTGAAAAATCATATACCAATGACGAAAGTTAAATATTTAATCCAATTTAAAACTATAAGGATGTTTTACTGTATGTTTTTTTTATCCAAACTTCGTAGGTAAAAAAAATGTTCCGAATGTTAACCGCAACCCGTCTAATTCGAACTCTTCATAACCTGAGAAGCTAGCGTTTTGATCAAATTTTATGGGTTGGACAAAAAAACGTAACAAGCGGAAGAAATTTAGACAAAAAAAAATTTTCAGAAAATAAAAAAAGTGTAACTATATTGTATTGATGTTGATCACAAAAATGGGATACGTTATTTCCATTATAATTTATAATAATTTTCAAAAAAGTACAAAAAAAAATATAAAATTAAATAATTATTATTGATCAAAATCTAAACACAAACAAAAAACTTGAAAAAATGTATATATAATAAAATAATATATATAATATAAATGCATAATAAAATAAAATATTATATATTTTTTTGTCATATTTCCATATATTAGTAGCTGACAAAAACCTTGAAAATATTTTTAAAAAATTGTTTTATTATATATTATAATATACTTTTAAGTAAAAACAAAATTTTTATTATATATAATTATTTTTTAAACAATAATGTTTAACTAAAATGGACAGTTAAAATAAAATGAGAAATGAAAAAAAAGAATAGTAGAGTTTTAAAAGTGATATGTGTGGTAATGCAAGGGATCAAAAGGTCAATTATTTAATATAAAGAGAAATTTTATAACATGGGAAAAAAATTACAGAATAAATATAAATAATAAATCCTCCTCAATCCAAATAAAATTTTAAAAAAATGTTACATCCTTCAAAAAATTATATTAAGGGGCAGTGTGGTACATGATTTTAGTTTGGGACCCATTCAAAGATCAAAATTAGCAAAAAAAAACCCAAACCAATATTTGACAAAACTAAATAATTTTGTTTTATTTATTAAATATGTCACTGATGAGAGGGATTCATAATTGTTTTTCAACTGTTTATAACTCTTAAAGATAAAAGACAAACCATAGCTTTATATAATAAAATAAGTAATAAATCAAATTTATATAGTAAGCAATAATACAAAATAATAATAATTACATCAGGTATAGTATTTTTTTTAAATAAATATTTCAAATGGTTTAAGAGATATAATTTTATTTGTTACCAAGTGGCCTTTTATGTTAGTGAAAACCCTCAATAAAATAAACATCCATGGGCAGAACTTTGTTGGTTCAAATTTTGACCACAGTAGCATATTGAGACTCATTTTAATGAAACAAGTCCCAAAGTTAAAGAAAAATTCCAATATGGTTTTCAGTTTTTAATAAAAAAATATTTCGCATTCATTTTTTAAAATAAATTTTGTTTAACATCATATACTATGGCTTGGTTTTGCCAATTTTAAATTAAAATTTTAGCCAAAAAAATATTATGCATGCATATTTTAATTTTTTTTTAAATATACCTGGGCTAAGTCTAAAAACTTTTTTTAACAGGCTAGGCCGTATATTTAAAAACTAAATTTTTTAATCACCATTATTTTATATCAAAATTAAAAATAGATGATATTTTAAAAAATTCTGGCAAACCAGGTCGAAAAATTTGACAGGCCTGAAAATATTTTTAAAATCTAGGCCAAGCCATATAAATGGAAAATCTTCAGGCTTGCAGATATTTTATAACTAAAATATTGAGTAAGCCATTTTTATACCAATATATAAAACATTTGCACAAAAATTCATCCAGAATATTAACATTAAATATAAGTTAACATTATATTTGCATATCAGACCATTTATTCAACTAAGAGCCCATTAACTATATTATCGTAACTAAACAAGTATGGGGTAAAATAGTATATAAAGATGTAGAGTAAAATCATTTCTTTGATTTAATTGAACAATAATTAGATAATTGGGAGCTAAGCTAAAGTTAATTGCCCAAACCCAAGTATAACAAGATTTTATTTTAACCTATTCTATTCATTTAAAGAAAAGAGTAAAATTTGTATATTCATAAATAAAAGGATAATATTGATCTCCATAATGATTAGTAAGATAAACATAATAGTGCCTCACCAAACTGAGGATCTGGAGGCTGGACAAGTTGCAAAAAAAAATCCTGACCACACAACTGCAGGATCATAAATAATATATTTTTATTTGATTTTATTAGAATGATTTATAACCCAACAAATAATTGTGAATTTGTTAAAACATTTTGTAGAAGGTGGGTAACTTAGAGGGATTTTACTATATATGTGAATAATTTATTAGAAACATAATCTTACACATTGTAATTCAAATAAAAATTAATTACCTCACAACCTAAAGAAGGAGGTGAACCTTCCCAATCTGGAGGCGGCCCACCATATTTTCGTTGACCAGCTGTTATGTTATGAGAATACCCAGTTCTATCAAGTATTTCCTATGTTTTATGGTAATTAATAAAAATATAAGTAAATATATAACTTAAAAATTTAAACCTTTAATTTTGTCTCACTAGGTCCTCTTTTTATTTGGTTTTTATGAGATTTAGTAATTGCAATATCATGGTTATCTTTTTTATCAGTAGTCAAATTTTCAAGATAATTATAGCTACTATTGCTATTATCATTAGAATTGCTTTGGTTGTCATTTTCAATTTTATCCAATTCACTTAGATCTTCAATTAGTTCAACATTTATATCTATATTATTGATATTACTACCACTTAATGATAAATTAGCAATTGAATTAGCTAATTTTGTTTGATTATTAATGATTATATTAGTATTTATGTTTTGTCTTATATGAGATACATTGATATTGCTATTGTCAGTTTCTTTATAATTATGATTAGATTCAATTTCATGTGCATTGCCATTAATATGTAAATAATCAATATCAATTTTTGTAAAAGCCTCAACAGGTTTAGTAAGAGAATTTGAAGATTTAAACTTTTGAAGTATGTGAAAGATTTTTTCTGGATTGTTGCTTTTAATAATTTCCATAAAACTTTTATTAATATCTTTTGGTGACAAATGACCTTTTTTAAAAAAAATAAGTTATCAAGATATATTAAAATTACCTGAGTTAATTAAATCCTCAATTTCTTCCAATATCTTTTCATTTAAATCAAATGAATAAAGTTGGGATAGATTTTCATTATCATTCATTAGATCTTCAATATCATAAGAACCATTCATCTTTCCATTGGTCAGGGTTAATTCATCAATTTTAGGAAAGCCTTTAATAAACTCAAATGAATTTTGCAAATTTTCATTATTAAACATCCCAATAGCTCATTTATAAGAATTCTTATGTAACTAGCATGAATATTTTTAGTTAGAAAAATTCTTTAATAGGTTGCTAAATTACAGATATCTATAATTAGTTTTACTAAGTGACTAAGCACTTTTAGTTCAAAATTATTTATCAATGAGATAACAAAAATAATAATTTAAACTAAAGATAATCTGAACGAATGTGATACCGCATTTCTTTAATATATTTTATAGAGATTTATTGTCAAATGCATTAAGTTAAAGATTAAAATATAAATGCTAAAGATAAATTTTAAATTTTAGCAATGAAAAACATAAATATATAAATGACCTCTAAAAAATAAGAAAAATTTTTAGTGGAATAATAGTATATTGTCAATGTCAAATTTTATAAAAATTAAGTAATTTATAACATAAATAAAAACTATAGAAAAATATTTAAAACACATTTCCAAATTATTAATAATAAATATCAAATAAAACATTAAATTAAATGCAATAGCCTTCATAATTAAGGTAAAATATAATGTATCGAATGTACAAAAAAATATCTAACAATTTAATGATTAGAAATATCTTATAATATCTATATGGCTGTCATTCCTAATTTATAATTTTATCGGGTGGAATCACATTTATTTAAATGAAATATATTAATTTATATTAGCTGGGTAAAGCATAGATGTGTGTTGAGAAATATATCCATAAAAAATTAGTACGTCAATAGCGCTATTGGGGGGGGGGGCAGGGGCTCAAGTTTCTGAAATTTTGAATAGCCTCCTCCTGAACCCAATTGTTTTCTATGCCCATCTGAACAAACATTTTTTTTGAATAGCTCCTGAACGAAAAAAAAATTTGATAGCCCCTTGAATTGATTTTTTTTTAGATTTCAATTTTGTATTATATAAAGATTTTTTTAAAAAATTTATTTATTTAATGTTATTTTTATTATTTTACAATCCTAAGCATTTTAACCTCAATTAGCAAAGTAACCAACTGCAAAAATAATATCAGTTGAAGGGGGAGGTTGACATGTATCTATGCCTATTACTTTTTAAAATAGGAACACTTAATTTTGAATAATTTTTTTACAAATCCATTATCTGATTTCTGACATATCACACATTTCCTAATTTAGTCTTTATCTTCATACATATTATTCCATAAATATGTAAACTGTAATATAATAAATTTTACCATATTATTTAAAAATTCAAGTAAACATTGTAAAATTGATAGGGAATTACAGCTAACCCCTAATTCAAATTTAATATTTTTAAATTCTTATAAAAACAAAATTTTAAACTAAATTTTAAGGAAGATGTTAGTTCTGTGCCACATGCCTATAGCAAGGAAAAAATGTTATTTTTCCTAATTTATAAATTTTACGAATATGTAACGAGCATTGGTGACAATAAATATAAGTATATTAAAAATAACGAATTGAAATGTATATATGGAAATTGCATTTTTTATATATTTAATTTCCACAAAATTGTCGATTGAATATGATCACTATCATTATCATAAGATGGTATAATTAGTAATATAAGTATGTATTTAATAAACCTTATAATTACTTGTTAAAAATATTATCTATGTAATATAAAATATTAAGATTAGATTTATCTTGCTAGCTATTTTTAATTAACAGGCCAGTTGAATTTAAACATAATACATAACCACAAATTTATATATTTTTTTAAAAAAATTACTTATTATCAAAAGATTTTCTTAAATTATTTGGTTAATATATAAAAAAAGAGCCCATTGTGTTTTAAAATTGACTGATTTTGAATTCGTTTTTTTTTATTATTTCTATATTAAGATGAATTATAAATTAGGCCTAAACAGCATAGTCATAATCAGTATAAAATTGGTAAAAATATATTTGGAAAAATTTCAGATATTTAATATCCTTTGAAAATGTATAAGCATTCAAATTTAATAAACAATGTTACGGTTATTTTGAAAATAATATTCATAAGAATAAAATATTTTAAAATCAATGTCTGAATCTGACCAAGTCTAAGAAAATGTTTTCAGCTATATTTAATAATGCAGCTATCAAAGGCCTTATATACAAAAATGTTTTGTATCCCAATGACTTCTATATTTTGGAAGATGTCTGAGTTACACCCCAAAAATGGATCTCAATTCTTATTCAAATTTATCACATCTCATGGCTTGGATATCCATGGTGCCCCTTCAAAAATATTTCCAATTTGTCATTATCTCCCCTTGCCTTATTTCTTTCTACTATAGAAAAATTCCCAACAAATGCTTATTTAATTCATTTTTTTCCAATATAATATGGAAATTCATCAATTTTTATAATTTTAATGTTTTTACTTATTTGTATCTCAACAGTTTGCTTAATTCTATTTATTTTTATGTTCACATTTTTATTTTTGCATTTTAAATTAATAATCATAAATAGCAACAAAATTATTCAATAGCATGATAGCATATGATACTTTCAATTTTAACAGATACATAAAATAATAATTAATGCTAACGATTTTTAAGAAAATTATCCTAAATTTTTGTTATGCAAGCAGTGGTAATTCCGATTAAAATTTTTATTTGCTTCAAAAATACATTATTAAATATATTTTTAAAATGATAATTATCTTGTTATAAATATAATAAGATTCAAAGAAATTTAAATAATAGTAATATATTTGTTGTTGACATTCATTTTTTTTCTACGCCAATCATTTCTAAATTGATAAAATATTTTAAAAATTTATACTAATGAATAAAATTTTATATTTATAAATTTTTTTGTTACATCTATTAAATTAGTCTATTTTTTCTTATATTTTCTAGGCATTATCTACTATTAATCTTTCTCGTTTTCTTTCTTTGGAATCAGTAATTTAACATAATATGTTAAATCTTGAGGTATAAATCTAAAAAATTTAGTCTATGTGAAGAGAAGGAGCTGAGCCTATAATAAATAATTTATTTTATTTAATATCTCTTTTTTTATTTCTCTTTTTCAATCTACTATTTATATATTTTTTTACAAACAAAAATTAGAATATAATATTAAAAAGGTTAAGTTATAAAATAAAAGTATAATTAAAATAAAAATATAATTTGAATAAACAGAATTAATTGAATGTGCGTTACATAAATTAAAACATATTACTATTCAATAACCAAAATATATAATATTACAATTTATTAATTCCTATAATATAACACTATGTTAAAAATATTAGGAATTATTACCATTGCTTGAATTAAGCCTGAGGATTACCATTCGTTTTTAATATCTGATGATAATTGCTCAAAATTTAGTTTTTATGTTTAAAATATTATAAATTATTACCATTGAGTTAATTAAGCCTATAGATTACCAATTGTTTTTAATATCTGATAATAATTGCTAAATATTTAGTTTATTTAAAAATATAAATATTATCACCTAGACCTTATATTCTTTCTTTGAAAATAATTATAATATTTGGGGGGGGGGGGGTCAAAATATCTGTTCTAATATCTTCGTGAAATTACTTCTATAAAAGGTGACATTTTTCTGTACTAATAGACGTATGGCGACGACTTTCATCTAACAAATTTTAAAAAGGTTTAAATGTTTTTTTATTTTCGTACACCATTTATTTTAATTATATGGCAAAACTATTTAAACAATACAATGAGGTATTTTTAAAATTGTAAAAATTAGACCATCTTAGAGTTCAAATAAAACTCATAATATTTGTGGCTAATTGTATTTTTGTAGTAAATAAAATAATTTAAACCTAAATCTTAAAAAATTTGTAGCCTTAGTGAGGATCTCTTACTAGATATATTAAAAACTATCGTGGTTAGTGTTGATAATTTGATTGATCGTAAAATTTAGGACCACATTTTGTGCTCAGGCCTGCTCTGAGCACGAAACCTGAGCACAGACCCGGGGTTCAGACCTGATAAATATAAAATTAAAAAAATAATTTTCCAAAATAAATTTTAATTTGAAGAAATGACAGGCGGATATATACTAAAATAAAATATTGACAATATATAATATATTCAGGGTGAAGGGTGAGTATAATCCATAAATAGAATATATTTATTTTCTTGCTAAGCATAAAAAAAATGTTTTATGATTATTTGGATTTGACATGTAAAATTATAATAACAATAAATGATTAGAAATAAGTTGTTAAAATTTGAAAAATAAAATACATAAATTTGTTATTTTATAAAAGTGCGAATTTCAGAAAAACTAATTTGAATGGGATAAACAAAACAGCTTATAATAAATCACAAGAGAATAAATTGTACTAAGAATTCCCGAAGAAGAAAAGATTTGTTTTGACTTTTAAAGAAAACGGGGTATGTATGATCAATTGTGGGAGAAATTAATTATTTTTTTATTTTACATTTTCTTCCTTATTATTTTATTAAATATTTTTGTAAAAAATTGCAAAATTATTAAAAGAAGATGGAAATTAAATTTTTTTATTTTGTATATTCTAATTTAATAATTCAAATTTTATAAATTATAAATAAAACAATAAAATATTTTTCATTGTGTATTATAATTATAAATAAAATAAAAATAACAAAACCAATACCATAATTTTTTTAGATTATATATATTTTACTATTTTCTTCTTCCATTATTTGTAAAAACTTTTAGATATTTCATGTCGTGAATAGCCGCGAAATTGAAATTAAATTATTTTTCAATAACGGTAATCGACTAAATTTAGCCTGACCCTCAAAACCTAGATCCGCCCACTAAGAATAATAATTGATTACAATCAAAATATAACGAAATTAACTTTTATTTGATGCCTGTATCAATATTTTGTGTTGTTAAAAATATTCCTTGCCCCCTGATCTAGAACTGCCCACTTAGAATAATAATTATGATTACAGTCAAGATATAATTAAAATACTTTTTATTTAATACCCATATTGTTATTTTGTGTTGATAAAAATATTCCTGAACTCCCAAGCCTTAGCCGATCGAGAGGAAACGCTTGTCCTCCTAATAAATAGATCTTTTGATAAGCTCTAGATTGATATATAATGAATATATATACTTTCCTAATTTCAACAAAAAAACAACTATAAACTAGTTTTTGCTCCGGGTTTGTACCTAGTGTAACGGCTCGATTTGAGCCGATTTTTAATAACGGCTAACTCAATATTTTAGTCAGAAAAGTATTGCCTAAGCCTCT